GGAATGCCTGAGGAGGCTGGCAAGAGACAAGCAAAGGGATGGACTGTATCTGTGTACTGAGCATAAAGGCAGTAGCATAAAAAGAGCCCTGGTGTGGCCCCTGCTGAGATGAGGTGTAATGCTACGTACTGTCCATCAGGGACAGATCTTACGCACTGACCCAGAATTTTGCTTTGTAAAATGTTAAATGTTAAATGTTCTTAATTGGAAATTTGGGATATCATTAATAGGCAGTGGTCAAACTACTGGCCTGGGAATTACTGGTTTGTATTGCTCATTTTCAGCTGACTTCCTAGGTGGTTTTCCTGTTCTTCCCCCCAAACCTTATTTTCTCACGTGCTGGAATCTGTTTAAAATGTTTTGAGATTCCAGGTAAACAGCACTATGTAGCAGTTAAGTGGCTATGTGGAAGTTATACAGAGAAATTTCATTTTTAATAAGCAACGGTCAGCTCTGTAAATATAATATGAATCCACTTCAGTTTGTAAAAATGATTTTGTTACAGCTGTACCATTTTTATTTCTCAACAGACAAAGAAAGTGTCTTCGTTTCCAAGTTTTGTTGATGGTAAGTTTTATATTATCTGTAGGCAAAGTAGGAAAAAATGGAAGTAAATGCTTTAGTATACTTTATATATTATGACAATTCTAAAAATCAGTCAACCCCAAAAGAATACAGATGAAAATTTTTAAGTATTGAAGTATTTAACTTTATATGAGGAAAATGCATACATGTCTTCCTGAAGTAAATTTCTAGACTGTCAAGTGAGAAAATACAGTAGGAAACATAAGGATCTGACTCCTTCGATCTGCCATGAACACACTTTTCCCCACAAAGAAATTTCCCCCATAAAGAAATTTTAAAAAATTTAAATGCCGTTCTTAATGTGGGGAAAACTTACTGAGAATTAGAATAATAGAAAGTTTAACACAGTTTTTTTTTCTATTTCCTGATCTCATCAGCTTCTGTTTTTAGTAATGTCCTTAAAGAACTAGAGCAAATGGCAAGTTCAGAGATTGCCCCTTTAAGGCAGATTGACATCTGAAGGAGATGACAGATAACACTTGGCCTGCTAACTGGTAACTGCTGGTAACTAACCTGGTATTGCTAACAGGCCCTAAATACAGGTCAATTAAATGCATTCCCCAAAGGTCATGGAGACAAGAAAGAAAGCTGGGACTTTGTAGAAATAATCTACAATATAAATGGATAACGATATATAGTATAATGGACAACTCTAAAGGGAAGTCAGCATGAGCAGAGCTTTAAAACAGACTGGATAAATTTACCCCTCACAGCTCCTGCAGATATAACTGCACATTTTAATTTTATGGGGATAAAAAGGTTATGTCTTTTCTTACCTATCAGCTCACTAGTCTGTTGGAAAGGTACTTTCTGTTGGAAAGAGTATACTTTTTTCTCTTCTTTTTAGCTCAATATTTTTTCTTCTCTGAATTTTTTCTGTAGTCACACAGTATGGGACCTATAGGCTATCTATTAGGCTTTTCTATTGCAGGTATTGTATGGCATTGTCTAGTACAAATAAGTATGTAGCTTACTAGGAGCTTATGTTAGCTAACATGACTGCTCTCTGAATCTGAAGAAAACCAGTTTTTATTACTAATTTGTACAGACAGTCCCAACAGGAACTGGATCCTACTGCATGCGAGAACAGATCCTGGCAGCAAACACTCACTCTGAACATGGATGGCAGCACCATGTTCTGGTTATATGCATATTCAGCTCTTTAGGCACCTAACTTACAGCATGACTCCTTAACTATAGTAACTATATCTGTCTGAACACATAGTAATTTTCATAGGCCATGTGGACATAAAAGCAAATTAGACAACCCGCACACACAAAAACACTGAAAATGTGTCCTTTTGCTATTGTAATTGTTTTAGTAGTAGCACCACTACATGCTTGTAGTGGTAATTAGTTCTGTGTTCAGGGGTTCTGGCTTTTTTTCTCTCTGTGTTTGTTCTGTCACCATAAATCTCATTCCCTTGCACAGTCACAACCAGGCTGAGGTGAAGAAATCAGCCAAAATATGAAACTTGTAGAGAAGTATTTTGCAAGGTGACAAATGCCCTAAGTCCATTTACTCTTTATGCAAAACCTGCTGCAGTGTCACACACCCTAAGGTCTCAGGGATGGTAAGGATGGTTCTCTGCAGGACGTGCTTCTGTGCTCTTACTGCAGTTTCTAAATACTGTCTGGATCCTTGGTTTACACGTTATTTTAGATAAATATAAAAATATGTTCCTAACAGATTGTGGAATTCAGTTATGGTGGATTATTGAATTAATATATTTTTTATTATTCTATGACTACAAAAGATAAGTTTATTTTAAAATGTTTTGACCTAGTCTATTCTAGAATTATATTTGTACTTGTTGCATTCATAGATCAGCAGGAAACCAAATAATCTCTATTGCATTTATAAAATAGTGCAGAAATTTACATGTAAATTTTCCAGAAACAGTTATCTAGTGTTTAAGTACCAAAACTTAACATAAAAACTCCAATATTTGCTCACACTGAACTAATCTTCAAATTTCAAATCGATTTCTTTCTTCTTCCCTTCTTCCTCAGTAAGCCTCACTAGTGCTTACAGTCAAGGGCATGTGAAGTGCTCTGATGAGCTGGGACCTCAGCCAAGTCTGCATTTTTATATTATTTAAAGCAGTCAGAGATAAGGGAAGAAAACACTTGGATGACCCAATTTGACCCCGGCAATTTTCAATGCTGTTCCATCCTTCCTACACATCTTATGTTACCTTGGAATTGCTTACATTGCCTTTGTGATGTACCTTTTACATGTTTTCTGCCCAACATGGCTTCATTTTTATTTTTGTTTCTGTATTAGCTGTTAGCATTTTGTACTTGCTGTTGTTTTATACATGGTGTTGCAGAATTTGTTGCTAATATAATGATTCTGCAAAAATCACTTTCTAATGCCATGAAGAGATGATGAAACCATATCCATCGAAAAACCTGCACTCTTTGAAGAATTCAAATAAATAAAATCAGGATAAGAAAATTGCTTAAAACTCTAGGTTATTTCCATGTGCAGTAAATTTCTGACAGATTAGTTAAAAACAGCATTGCTGTCACCAAACAGGCAAGGCATGAGAAGGATTTTGTGTTTTCTTTGTTAACACTCATTAATTTCACAGACCCCTAAGACAGGTGGGGATGACTTTTGCTTGGAGGTGCCAGCAGTGTATGTTAGATTAGACCTTAGACATGTGTTTGAACCTGCCTTTGAGGTGGCCTTTCAGTGACTTGGAAATCAAGACAAAAATGTCTTGCTCCAAGATGTACAAGGCACCAATACGACCAGAGTGACCCCAATTCTATGTTCTTGAAAATAACTGAAGAGAAAACAAGCTTTCCTGAGTTCAGCCAGAGTTTTTGAGGTGGGAAGGAAGTAGATTAAGGGACTGATGTTTTAAATAACTGGCACCTTTTTTTTTTGTTATTGGCAAATCCTGTAGACTCTGAATTTTTGTATTTGCTCAATGTAGTAATGACTGTATTAGAATTTGTACCAAGAATTACAACTTCACTTGTCTTCAGATACACAAAATATTAAAAAAAAAATAATCTAAATTAAGAACTAAAGGATGTTAGTTAAACCGATTTAAACATTATGTGGGTAAGCATATTTCAGTTAAAGCAACCTCGATTCAATTTAGACTGATTTATTTAGCCTGAAGTGAATGAAGGAAAACAAAATTAAAGCCACTTTAATTTTGAATGAGTGTGTTGATGCAGGTATCTAATGAAGTTTTGCTAACTTAACATTAAATTCACATCTTTAATTAATTTCCCTCTTTGGTACCCTTGAAACAAGATGTCAGTATCATGAAACATTAATATTTTGTTGCATGCTGAGAAAAGTGCAGATGGGTGGGACTAAGTTGAAAAGGGGTATGAATAAGATCAGAAGAGGTGCTATATTAAATACATCATCCATCTACTGAAAAATGTAAGGGTGCAAAGATGTAAGCAAAGAGGAACAGAGATATAGTAAATGGAGCTCTTGTGGATTTTTAATTTTCTTTGATTCCTATCAGTGAATTAGTGCTGTAGGAACAAGGTTCTCCTTTTGAGCTGTTGTGAGACTTGGTTTTCATGAAGAGTTAAAGTGACTTTTAAGCTTTTTTCATAGCTTCCCAAGGATTTAACTGAGGGTTTTCACATTTTCAGTGGATATTGTAACTATTTTCTTTTTTAACTCTTTTCTAATACTTTGAGAATTTAAAACTCCACAGAATTCTATTCTGAGTTATAATGAAGATCCAAACCATTGCTCTATTTGTACGGATGAGATCTGAAGCAGAATGTGTCCTCCTCTAGTGTGTCATTATCCTTGCAAAGCTATGGTGTTTGCTAGAAAAACAAACAGCTCCGTTTTGGGTGAGCACTGGTAGTTAATATCAAGTCTCTGAAGAGTGAAGGACTGGTACAAATACATAGATGTGTTTATCTACTTTGCTGAATTACAAAGACTGTTTTGGTTTTTTTTGGAGGTTGACATTTCCAGCAAGCAAATGCAAGGTCTGTGTGGAATTACAGGTGACAGCAACATTGCTTTAAGAAGAAAGTAGCTTCTTTTAATCAAATTTCTTGTCTGTTGAAAGACTTCTTCTATATGCAAACCACTGTTTCAGTAAATTTCATCAGCATAGCATGCCATATGTTATTCCTTCTCCACACTCTAATTTTCTACATTCAATTGATTATCAATACATTTGAACTAATCTACTGTCTAAGAAAACCTTCTTTTAATTTAGCATCTCCCTTCAGTGTCATTTTCATTCTCACACATGAGATTGATGGACTTAACATGTGTTAGCAGCTTGGCAAGTTGGTACAGCTCAAAGAAAATTTATTTTACAAAACTCTGGAGGAACAGAAAATACTCACTGTCAAGACATTTCGCCCAGTTCCCAGAATGACTGTTCTTTACTGTTGATCTAATCAATCTAGATGTAAAGCTTAACAGCTGAGTAAAAAGGATGATGAGCATAATCCCAGTATTAAATAAATAGTATCCTGTATTCTCTTCTCCCTGCCCCCTCTTTTTCAGCCTTGGAAAGAAACAGGAATTTCACCAAAGTAACCATGTATAAATAATAAGTGTATGCAAAGCCATTTTGTTGAATTAAGGCTAAAATTTAAAAAATACCAAGTTCTAAGTTCCACTGTTTTACTCTCTTTTTTAACATTAAGGATTTCATACTGTTTCCATGTACTCCTTTTCCATAACTGCCTTCTGTGACTTACCTGCTTCCTGAGGAAAAGGCTGTATGACCTGGTGTGCAGATGGCATTGATTAGACCATGAAGGTTTTATTGAACTCCTGTACTGAAGCATGTTTCTCCAGCTCTCAGTTCCTACAATTTGTACAAACCTGGGAACTGCATTTTCTATCAGTCTCTGAACTCAGGCATTACACATGACTAAACAGCAGGAAGATGCCTCCTCTTAAAGTTTCCTGAACTTTCTTACCTGTTAAGTTTCACAGCAGGCTTTTGCTGAAGTGAAGTACACCTTTGTGCCCATTGTTCATGAGTATTTTTGCCAGAAGTGATGTTTGGGAACTGTGTACTTCTACAAGCATGTAAAAAATGTGTGGAAACACAAATCTGTATTCAAGCAGCAGTTTAGCTCATACACTGTAACAGTCATACCTATAAACAGTAAGGAAGGAACCTGTCAGCATGACTGAAACTTGCAAACAATGCCAACGTGTTTATCAGTGCAGCACAGAAAAAAAATTCCAGTTATTTTCCTGTAGAATTCCACAATCAAACCATTATTAAATATTTTAAATACTGTATGTTCAATTTAGATGGTTTTTTTTTGAAATTATTATAGGGAAAAAGTAATTTATATTCCATGGGCTTTCTTCCTGTTTCACACAGGTTGTTCAAGCCTCAAGATCCTTTATTCCATTTCTCATCTCTCTACCCTCTTTTGAAAGGCAGTAACTGTCAATGTCTCCTGTCAGTTCCAGGACCTTGTGAACCTGAAGACCTCATTGATGGGATCATCTTTGCAGCCAATTACCTGGGCTCCACACAGCTGCTGTCTGAGCGCAACCCCTCCAAGAACATCAGGATGATGCAGGCCCAGGAGGCAGTGAGCCGGGTGAAGGTAGGGGACTGGGGTGGTCGGATCTGCAGCTTCAGTCCTGTTCAGAAGTGCACTTACATGAGTATAAATCTGGTACTGTAAATACCATTAGTTTCCAGTGCCTATTATGAAATTACATACAGCATCTCTGAGCATTTTTTATATAAAAAAATATAAAGTGTTCCAGAGGCTTTTCAGAATTGTTTTGAAGCTGTCTGAAGAATTCAAGTATTAAAGACAAATTGCAGATTGCAATTAGGAAACATTCCAGTGTATAAAAAAGTGCATTTTTGGTTAATAATCAAAATAGGATATTTTTTATTTTACAATTTTTTAGTGGATCTGCTGTAAATATCTCATCCAAATAAACTCACACTTAAAAGGAGGTACATTTAAATGCTAATAGAAAAATTTTATGCTTAGTCAATACTGTATTTAATTAGTAAAAGTCGCATGTTTCTGAAGGAAACTAGTTTGGGAAAATTGTTTAATTAACAAGAGACTGTCATGAATGATGACCGATTTGGAATTTAGAAAAAAAGGGAAGACAAGAAAGGTTCAGCTCTTTAAACTTTTCAAACCTCTGAATTTCTATTTTGCATATTGTGATTCCTCAGGCAGTAAGGAATTGTTACTGCTGTTCCACGTATCAATAGCAATCCCCATCTCTCAGGGACACTTTCACTACTTTAGAACGTCACGGAAGAGAGCTTGAGTTAGATTTGTTCAACAGTTACATATGATTAATACAGATAGAAAACCTTGAATTTAAAATAGTGCCTCTGCTGTTATTTTAGACTGCTGTATATTTAGCAGGATAAGAGCTATGAGCAGCTGTTAACAAACAACACTCTTTGGTACCAAATTTTTTGTACTCAGTGATCAACGTGCACAATCCCATTAAATCAAATTACGTCCAAGAACCTCGCAAGATACAAACAAATCTTTCTCTTTTGCACATCCTTCTCCCTCTGCCCCCAAATTTTTAACAGTCTGGATTCATAGTCAAAAGGTTTCCCTGACTTCCCACACTGTCTTTTCTCTTTCTTTGTGTGTACATCTGTCTGCATTCTTTTTTTATGCTACTCCTCAGAGGATGCAAAAGGCGGCTAAAATCAAGAAAAAAGCGGTGTGTAAACTGTTTTTCTTGAATGCTAATGTTTGCCTACATTTTTGTTGCACTTGTTCTCCATGGAGTGTTGTGTCTTTCATTATGGGTCCTCATGAAGTTGTAATTTTGGTTTCTTCTTTGTTGAGTAGTAGAACACGAGATGGAATAAAATGAACTCATTATCTTCATTGTTCATTTGCTGGAGTGCCTGTCTGCTGCTCTCCTTCTGTTAATGCCTGTGGTTCCTTTAGTCCAGAGGTGCCACCAGTGTTATCTGGGAGATTTTTAAAAAGATAGCATTTATTTTTATTTTGCTAACCAAAGCAGTAAGATATATTTCCTGTGCCTGTTACTTACTTTATTAAATTACAGGAGACATTTCACTCAGTTAAACAATACTTCAATTAACTAAATAGATTTGACAAAAATATCACTAGAATGAATCTTGCTCTTTTTGTTGGTCTTGGATGAAAGCAATGCAAGCAATTGCTACTGAAGTATATGCTTGCTTTTGCTGGATGAGACTTAATGCAAATAAAATCAAACTGAATTAAGTATAGGTATAGCTAAGCCTTTATAACTACAGAACAGAGCAGCAAATACATCATTCTTCCTTGTACTGTTTCATCAAAGAACCAGTCTCTGACCTGGAGACTGATGCTTGCCTTTAGCACAGGGTGACAGTCTCTGGCTGTTTTCTTCTGAGGCTGCTAAGATGGGTGCTGCTAAATTCCAGTTGCAATAGTGCAATGTGGACAAGTAGCCCAGAGAAATAAATAGGTTCCTGCTGGAGCTCAGATTATCAGGTAAGCCCTTAGATGATGCTTCCATGAGAGGTGGTAGTTGCTTTGCCACTTTCTCTCCTGTTTCCTCATGTGTGCAGAGCCAGGACTTACACTTACTGCCATGTTGCTTTACACTGTAATCCCACTTGCACTGTGACCATGTTTTCTAATGAGATATGGAAGTATATCCCAACTAAGCAGTGCTCAGAAGTTGGTCTAAAACCCAGCTGATGGCTGGCTGTGATATGAGAGAAATATTATTTCAGCACTCATTCATTTATTTAAAAAACTAAGCTAAAACTCTAAAATAACCCTAAACCCCACCACAGCACTGAGCACCATCTTGTACTTTTTTTGGTGAGCCTGCTGAAGATGGCAAGGGCTACACAGCTGATGGGCACTGACTGACCCTTAGTTCTCCTACCTTCTCAGCTCCAGTGCCCCAAGTACTCAAGTGCATTGAAGAGAGTGGGGAAGAAACAGCCATACTCTTCTAATTAGAGAATTTTAGTACTTAAACTGTCAGTCCCATGGGCTCCAAAGTGTCACTCTCACCCACAAAATCAGAGTATGCTCCATTCTTTCTGTGCAATAAATGCATTCTTTGCAGGTATTTAGAAACACCTTTCAATAGCCTGCCGTGGTTGAACAGTGCAATTGCCTCACATCCCATTATGCTTGAAGTGATCAGTGAGTTTGTCATTCTAGAGAGGAAATTCAAAGTCCCCTTGTAACAAAGCATTTGTCTTTTAGACTTCAGAGGGAGATTCCCAGGCCTTGACTGAAGTGGATCTGTTCATCTCCACACAAAGAATCAAAGTTTTAAATGCAGACACACAGGTAAGTTATGATTAAAACTCTTCAAGAATAATTTTGGGTTAGACCATGCTCTTACACTGTTAGTGGGAAACTTCACTCACTACATTTGGATAAAGTCACTGTTGTAAGAACAGATCTACTATTGTTGTAACACCTGCCATTTGCCTATACGAAATGCTGACACCAGTTTTGCCTACTTGATGTATTGGTAATATCTGCATGTTAGTGAGATCTGTAGTTCAACTTACTCATATCTTGCCATTTTAAATATCTAACCTCTGATTTTTCCATTAAATCACATCTCAGCTACCATCCTCTTTGCCTGAGGTAAATTATTTTAATTATTCATATAAAAGAAGCATCTGGAGACCACAGCCATAATCAGCCTCATCCTCTAGGAATACATATGTATATTCAAAAAGAGGTAGTCTTCATAAGATGGATTCTTTAGAAGGAATTTACAATTAAATACATATAATTTATACATGGATCCCCATATTTACTATAATAATTTCATATGATCTTTTAGAGTTTGATCATACGTATAGAAACTTTTCAGATTTTTCTTTTTGAGAGGCTTTGAAAAGGGAAATTTTAGTGACATTGTTTGCTTAAGTTTTCACTAAAAAGCTCCACTGTGTGTAGCTAACAGCAGACCAGCAGTAGGACCTCCTGTTACATTAAAAACCAAATCATTTAGAAAGTGCTTAGTTCAGCTAGATACAGCCAAACTATAAAGTTTATCTTGTAGTATTTAGAAAAATGTTTGGAGGAACTTTACACTATCTTTTCAATGATACTTTTCCACAACTTAGGAAGATAATACTTAGTCCTTTTTTTTCACTGCAGAAAAGACTAAGGGTTATAGGAGTTCAACTGTCAGAAATATATCAAAACAAACCCTTGTAGGTAGTTTGTGAGCAGAGCAAGGGTTAGCACAGATTTGCCAAAAGTAAATAATGTCAACTCAGTCATTTTCTTTCGTGACAGGGAATATATTTCTCCATGGCATAGAAATAGCACACATAACTTAATCAATTAAATACAACTTTTATATCATATAATATAATCTATATTATATGATACAAGAGAGACAAGCGGGCTAAAAATATTTCTGAGACTGTACTTATTTCTGATAATTTGCCATGTAGATGGCAATATAAAGAGATAAAAAGCAGGCTACATTTAGAATTTTGGTTTATACTTAGTATATAATCTGTTTTTCTAACAATGCAAACTGAGGCACCTACATCTTGCTAAAATTTAAGAGAGCATTACTGTCTTTTAATGTGAGGATAATAGTATCTACAGGAAATGGATTATTTTCCTTTTAACATAAACAGATGTCCTGAGCATGGCACTAGAACTCCCGAGAGATGGAGCCAGAGGAGCAGAATCTCCCATGACTAATGGGAGCAGTATTTACAATCTGCCATCCATAAGTTGTTCTGACGCTGCATTTCATCCATGATAACCAATACCACCATTAGTTTTTGTGACCTCATGGTAAAGATGTATCATCCAGAGAGTATTTTATCAAACCTTATGACTATTTTTTGCATTAGCAGGTGATAAAATGCTAGTAATTATGAGTGAAAAGATGACTATAGACAATAATTGATAAATGAACAGCTACAGTTTGTAGTTGGAATATATGGCAGTAAATAGATGAGGTTTTTTTATTGAGAAAGGACTACTATTAGTAGAAGTCAATCTTTCCCTTCTCTAAATAGCTCAGCATTTCAGCTGAACACCAAGCCTTTTAAAAATAAAAAAGGAAAGTCCTTTGAGGCAGACCATAAACACTTGATCAAAGTAACTGTTATCTTATTCTCCTGCTTCCCCTGAGATTTCTAGTCATACAAAATGCAGTGCAGCATGAGATTGGTGTCAAGCGTGAGCTGGTCAACTAGATCAATAATAATTTTTGGCTTGGTAATATTTTCCAGTGCTAGTGAGGTTTCCTGGCTGGTGTAATTACCATAGGTCTGTTTCAGCTGGTGTGGCAGCTGGCAGAGACAATCTCTTCTTCCATGGCTTTATCAATTATATAAAATCTCTTTCTGCAGTGTGCTATCCATGTTTTAATCCATCTGTAGTGTTGCATAGCTCACATGAGGTAGCAGCTGATTTAAAATGTAAAATTCTCAGTTAAAAAAAATATGCAGCAGGGTTCAAAATACTGAGTAGCACCAGCAAAGTGCACTGTCACATGCAACAGAGCCAGCATTGGTGGTTCTGCTGCCCTCGGCAACACCAGGAAGCTGCACCCCTGCCACTTCTGAGCTGCACTGAATGCATCCAGCCCAGGCTGACCACCTCTTTGGTGTATGTGGTAGAACTGACCTTAGGTTTGGCCACGTGCCTGCTCCATAGGAGAGCAATTCTTCCCCGACTGCTGTAGCTTCAGGGGCTTGCGACAGTGCATGAAAACAGCAGAAATACCACTGCAGCCTCTTCCACCTTCTTGCTCCATCAGTGAAGAGAAGCTGAGAGTGAAGCAACTGGGAAAACTAGCAGAGGAAACGTATTACAAATGTTTATGTTAAGAGCCTCTGGTAGATAACTGGTTCCATAAAATCTTCTGACTTGTTAGGCTAATTTACACTCTCACAGGATTACATCACTTGAAAGCTTGGAAAATGCTTAAGTTTTCCTCCTTCATGTGTTCTTTGGGTTTCAAGAGGGACAACAAACAGGTTTCTAGTGGAGTTCCTTAGAAAGGAAGGGAGATTCTGAGAAAGGGGAATCTGGACAGGAGAAGATTGAACAGGAGTTTTGAAGAAGGCCAGGAGAGAGGCTGACTTCCTGAGGATGTAAGAATAACAAGGATGGAATGGATTGGACTATAAAAGGGATGAGAGAAAGAGCAGAGAAGCAGATGGACAGAGATGGAGGGATTAAAGGGAAAGTAACAAAAGAAGAAAGGGGGTGAAAATGAGATAATGGTAATAGAAAACAGAGTAGAATGAAATATGGAATGAGAAAGTCAAAAGCAAAGACGTGTTTACAGTCACTATATCTGATTTGCCTTATTCCTAATTATAATTGCATAGACAGGAAAAAGGTGTCAGGAAGGGAAGGAATGACTGCTTGCACTGCTACAAGGGGAAAATACAAAAAAACCCCTTTGAGTAACTTCTGTGTGATAAGGACAGACAGACTTTCTTGGCAGGTGAGAGTAAACGCATTCTTTTTTCCCAGTCCATTCACTGTGCTCACTGCATTATACCCCTACAGAATACTTAGTGCAGACTACTGAAAAGCAATTATCTCTGCAGGGCTCCCAGGATCCTGCTGAGACATGTCTATTATAAAACGTTTTTCCATACTGAGAGAAGTACTGTAAACCCTACTGAGCTGCTGCAACCCTTAGAGACACTTTCCAAACCATCTCTTAACCATCACCACTTTTCATAGTTTAGTGATAAGCCTAACGCTTTTTCTTTCAAGCCTTAGAAGAATCATTAGAGTAATTTTATGGGTTTTGAGTCTCTTCAGTAAGACAGGTGGTTCTAAGAAACAACGATTATTTTTCTCTCTCTGTCAAGTTAAATTGTACTGAAATTCTTACAATAATTACTCTTGTCAACCTGATGAACAATCTTTCTCTCAGGTCTTAGAGATTTGTTCAGCTAATGGTAAACTAATGCTTACCTGTTTATATAAAGGATGCTGCTGCTTATATACGTTATTTAAATAGTGTATTATCTCCTACCATGTTATAAGGGGTGTTTTTGGAAGATCAAGGGAGACCTGCCAGTACAGACACAGCAAAAGGGTATCTCAGGCATCTAACGTGACTGAGTTAGATGAAAATTGCCTTCATGCTGCTCAGTGAGATATTCTGATACATATCAAGAGCCACTAGTAACTAAAAATCAAAAACCCTAAACAACAAATAGCCTTCTTAGTTAAGAAGCAAAACAAAAATACCCCACAAACAACAATTGTAGTCAGTTTTCCTTTCTTCACATACCTTTCCCCAACATACCTGTGGAAGCTTTGCTTGTTGCTATTTGCATCCCTGGTGAGATTTAATTCCATCTAGGATTTGGCTCTCCTAACCTGATCCCTAGCTACTTGGACAACCTCTCTGTAATCCTCCCATGGTACCTGCCCTAGCTTCCACCCTCTGTATGCTTCCTTCTTCAGTATGAGCTTTTCTAGGAGCTGCTTGGTTATCCACATTGACCTCCTGGAGTCTTTAACTGACTGTCTCTTAGTTGGGATGCATCACTCTTGGGCCTGGAAAAGGTGATCCTTAAATATCAGCCAGCCTTCATGGGTCCCTCTTCCCTCCAGGATGTTATCCTATGACACTCTCTTGAGCAGATCCCTGAAGAGGCTGAAATCTGCTCTCCTCAAGTCACGGGTAGTAAGCTTGCTGTGAGCCCTCCATGCTGCCCTAAGGATCTTGATCAGAAAGTAAATTAAGAGTTCAAAAAGGCTAAAGTAATTAAGAAGATGCAGAGCTCATGGATTTGAGATAGAGGCAATACTCTTCATGGTGTTTTATGTAAGAAATGTTCATTAGGATGAAGGTTGGATAGATTTCTACTTAAAATCATCCTCAAAGGCAGCAGCTCTTCTGAGTTCGTGCTCGCAGCACAATCCAATTGGCAGCCTGATGATACTGACTGGAATACAACTTGACTGTGAGCCCAGACCTGTTCCCTGCAAACTGACCTGAGAGATGTAGGTAGGCAGAAAAAAGTATCAAAAATTCTGCCTACAGAGAAGGTGAAATCCTGCCTTCACAGCTCTTTACAAAGAAAGTAAGTTTTGCTTGGATGTGTACGAGCAAATGTTACCTTAGATATTATTGGTATCATAGGACATCATTAAAATAAAATTGGGAAATGATAACATTTTCTCATACCCATATGACTTTGCTAAAACATGTGATGAAGAAATGCAGAAATGCATCTGCTTCATTAAGCAAAAGCAATACAAAAGGGAAACATTACTTGCCAACAGCATGAAAATCGTTGTAAGTCTAGAACGGCATTATTTGCAGGAGTAACCATGGTGTATGTGCTCAGGCAACACTTCCACTGAAGCTGATTTCTTGAACAGTCACAATCCGTGGAGTTGGGGCCCATTAACTGCATACGGAGTGTCAGATCTGGGACTGGAAAGTGCCTTTGTAGGTTTTCTACTTCTCAAGCAAGAGGCCATCAAGGAGAGGGAAGATGCAGCATCAGTAGAATAACAGCAAGCATGAGGAATGACTTGGTTTCCCTTTGCTCTCCCCAGGAGACAATGATGGATCACGCCCTGCGCACCATCTCCTACATCGCCGACATCGGGAACATCGTGGTTCTGATGGCGCGGCGCCGCATGCCAAGATCAGCTTCTCAGGACTGCATTGAAACAACACCTGGTGCCCAGGAAGGAAAAAAACAGTACAAAATGATATGCCATGTCTTTGAGTCAGAGGATGTAAGTACATGGAATTAAATTTATTTAAACATCATATGTCACTTAGAAAATCTCTGAAATTTTATCTAATTAATTGAAATAATTGTTGTTGTCAATAATATTTTCTGCTTGCAGCTACAGGTTATCTGTGGAAACATCAGCCAGTTCTTCATCCATGGTTGTACCTCTTTTCTGTCTCCACAAATTCATGTCTCCCTCAGTTCTCTTTGTCTCCTCTGTTATAGAATAATTTGTGTTCTTTCAACAGTGCTGCTCCAAATGCTTTAGTACTTACTTATCTGGAGTCATCTGGAAGTTGATAGCCATTCCTGGTCAAAATTAGTTTATGGGATATTAAATTGATTATTCATTCTGTACTGGGTCCTTTAGTTCAGAAGGCTGGCACATAAACACATAAACCTCGAGACACGTGGCAATGAGGTGAAACCATTCTGAACCTCTTTCAAACTGCAGCCAAGTTGCTGAGGTCAACCAGTCTGGCAGGCTTGCACCAGGTTGCCCTCTGCCCAATCCTTACTCCCTCATGGTGCACTTACCTGTGGTTGGTGCACGTAATCTGAAACATCTGCCTTGATACTTTGAGGTTTAAGAACAGATTCAGCTGTTGATTTTTCAGTTCTTTTTTTTTCATCCCTAGCAAGGATTATGAATTAGAATGTTTATATAAATGCAGTAGAGCTAAGAAAGTTTGGTTCTCTATGTTTATAGACATTTTTCTTCATGGCCAGTGGAGTTTAGCAATTCTTAAGTAAAAGACCAGGAAGAACTTGCTTCTGACTACTCTCTCAGAACATCTATACAACAGAAAGCATTATTTGAGTAATTTTATGCCATAAGATAATCGGAGACCTAATATTATATTAGCCCTATGACACTTGTTTTTAAAATTCCATTTTAAAAAAGAAGATTTTCACTTGCATCAGAAATACCGAAAGATCAAAGAACTTGGAGCCATTCTCAAGATAGAATTGCAGAAGTAGTGCTCTTCAACACAAAACATTTGTGGGAAAAAATACCAAGCTAGTCAAACTGAAAAAGCAAAATTTATTATCTGAGATACAGATATTAGTAATAGGCTGTACCATCCTGATCATTGTTACATAAGAACAGCTTTAAATATAAATTCTGTCATACCAATTAAAAAAGCATTGAGCTCTTTGGTTCAGATAGTTCTAACTCCCAGGTTGGGTATTATTTGAACGAAGCAATAATTTTCATTATTTTAAAGCAGCTAAGCCTGTGAAGGAGAAATGGCATTGTCCAAAGGTGAGAGTGCTGCACTGGGATTGTTTTCACACCTAGTATCGCAGCTCTGCCACTTCTTTGCTGGGGTGACCTTTTCAAGCAACTTAATTACATTATCTCTAAGTTGTAGATAATACTCAAGATTTTAATAACCATTCATAACAACCTTGGAGATACAGATGAAATTAAGATGTGAGAACTGGCTGTTACTAGCAGTAATAGAAGAGAATGTGACATATAGACATGTTTGTTTTGAGAATGCAGAATGGAGGCAAAAGCAAAGAACTGCAGAGACAGCAAAGGAGTCTGTAAGGACTGGTGATAAACTTTAATACTGGAATGATATAAAAAATGTTATTTATAACTTCTATACTACTTCAAACCTCCTGGTATACTGATAGGATCAGAAAAGATGTTTTAAAACATAAATGTTTTATGACTGGCTAGGCTAATTAAGCCCTTGATTTTCTAGGACAATTTTCCAGTGAAGCAGATTGGTGCTTCTCTGTGCTGCAGCACAAATGTAATAAGAAAACCGCCTTTCAGCATCAAAGAAAACACTGTATCTGATGGCAGATTGCAAGGAGATTTAGATTTACAGTATTGTCTGGAAAACCCTATGCATTCATAATACATTTATCAAGTACCTGCTGAATAAAAAAGTGTGTTGCATTTATAGTTTGGATAGAAATATTTGTAGGGAATTACATTGTAAGGTCTTATTAGCTCCTCCTCAGATCATTGGGAGATACTCATATCCCCTGATGACAGAATCCAGTACCTGCAAACTATAAATATGTGAAGCTCAATGTGACATTCTCCTGGGAGCTGCTGTAAACTCAGGAACATTTAAAAAAATCAAGCATAGAAAAATTTGACTACTAATTCCTTGTACTTCCCTCTACCCCTGTTTCTCTGTGTATCAGTGCCATCTAGTGGAACAAGAAAGTAAATTTTACAGCAGTTCAGTAAGGACTTAATTAGTTGACTTCTGCAGAGTGCTGAATGTGTAAAGCTGTCTTGTCATCATTGTCAGTTTCTGTAGATTTCTTTCCAATGCCTACGTATTTCTGACATCCAAATAGCAGCCAATGGCTAGTCACATTTTATTGCATACTTCAGTAAGATGCATGCACAGATAAGTGCTGAAAAAATTAATACAGACACGGGATTTTGAAGAGCTGGTCTTAAAATAAACAAGCTATAATCACGGCTCTGTCTGCGTACTTGAAAGCATCCCTAACATTGCTGGTCAAGGTGTTAATGGGAATAGCTACTGTAGATGTGGAATGGATAACTAGGGCTATTACTGGGTTGCTGGGAATATGAAACACAGGTATCAAGGCAGAAATAGGAGAGCAGATGGTTTTCTTGAAGCAGTGTTTTCAGTCCTGTAAAACCAAGCTGGAGAAGCAGCAGGTGACACAACAACCAAAATCATCAGTGCATACATCTGTGAAGGCACGTGCAAGCAGAGCATCCTTTCTCTCCTCACTCCTGGAAATATGCTGTGATCAGAAGCAGGGTTTGTGACAGTCATTTCTGTCAGCTCTGTTCCATATTGGTACAAAGCCAGTCCTCTCCAGTGTTTATTGGAACGAGTACATGAAGAGCATATGGCTACTTGCTACTGCAGTGTGCTGAAGAGCGATCCGCAGGGTTTTGAAAAGCAGATTGCAATTTGATTTTGGATGTAATGCATTCTTTCTGTACAACTGACCTGAAAGTGACTTTATATCCATACTAACGTAGCAACTTTGCAGGATCATTTATTCTGACTCTGTCTTTAAATCCAGTCTCTCTCTTGCTTTTATGGCTCCTGCTGTAAACTGTTTATGGGCCCTTTCTCTGAGCTGTGTTTTGTTCTACATTTCAGGCACAGCTGATAGCTCAGTCAATTGGTCAGGCTTTCAGTGTGGCTTACCAAGAGTTTTTAAGAGCCAATGGAATTAACCCAGAGGATCTCAGTCAGAAAGAATACAGTGACATCATCAACACCCAGGAGATGTACAATGATGATCTCATACACTTTTCCAATTCAGAAAACTGCAAAGAGGTAAAGTAGTTTCGGAATTTCTTTACAGTTTGATCTGTTTTTTTCAGGAGAATGTAGGTGTCATGGAAATATCTTTTAGCATTTTAAGGATGACTTTATCTCTCAAAATGATTTGTTTCATGAATACTGTGCTACTAACAGCAGCTTTATAAGTTTTTAGAATTTCTTATTTTAATTTTCAAGGTCTTCCTGCTTCTACTGATCAAAACAGTAATAAACCACATGTATATCTGACATAGATAAGCTCTGTACTATTCACAGTAAACAGTGTAAGGTGTTTATGTTTTACCAAGGTATTGATGCAGAGAAAGACATGACAATCCATTTTAAAGCATGTTGTGATTTATCCTTAATAGATGCAAGGACGAGTCCAGGATGCTGTGGCACTGAGAAAGCCAATTTCTTTTCCCCTTTTTCAACAAAACTACCACATGAAATAGTTTCACACTTGTAAGAATTTCCCTCAAGTGCCCCAAATGACATCAGTGTAACTATTTACATTTCATGTTGGACTTAATGGATTCTTCCTGTACAACAGCCATATAGTTCACATTTTACATTTCATACAAATATCATTGCAATGCTGGGCATTCAAACCAGAATGCAGCCAGTGCAGCTGCACCCAGATTCTGCTCTGTCTTGCATTGCTGCAGCAGGGATGGATCTGGCCAGTATTCTAAAGGTCAGTTTCTGTGCTGAGTCCTAAAGCAATCTTTTTTGAGATGAACTGCAAATTGCTTAATCCTGCAGTCACAGCTTCCCTACTTATTTTTTCTAGCATTACAAATTCTTTTGTACAGCATGTGTGTTCTTGGGAAGAGTATTTTCCACCTATACTGTACCTGCAGATGGAAAGGTTTTGATTTCATGTGTAGTTTGACACATCTGCAGTCAGAGAGTGTTTTCCTGTGACTATAAAGCCTGACAAGGTGTTTCTCTTGTAGCAAACATAGGAAAACTCAGTTGAACAAATCTTAGTCTAATTTAGAACTGGATCAGGAAAATATAGATATGTCACTTTTTAAAGTGATCTAAAAGGTCATTATGTGGCATCTTTGTTTCTAATTGGGTGACAGCTGCAACAAAAGTCAGCTGGCCTTCATGATTCCTGCAAGTACAGATGTCCCTGTCCTTCCACATTTGAAAGAAAATAATTCCCAGCATTTTGTTAAGAGTGTGTTTTCTACTTAAACTCTTACTCATCTTCTGTAAAAGATAGATATGCTATGATTACTGAACAGTTAACATCACCATATTTGAGAAGTCATCATTTCCATTACATGAGCATGTCAGGGATCTTAAATCATCATGCTAAGCTCAAGTATATTCAATAATGTTAATAACAATAGTAATAGTAGTAATAATAACAACAATAATCAAGAGGTCCTTGCCTGAAAATAAGGACAGACAAACCCCTGAGATTAAGAGACAATCTGAGCAGTTATGGAAGAAGTGGAGCTGAACTCAGGTTCCAGGCATTGCCTTATCCACAAAATGTTACAGCCTTCCCTAGCTGCCAGGTTCCAGGGAGGATAAAAACTTACTTGGCATTCATTCATTTGTATTTGGTTCCACCAGCATCTGCAGAATTAACCAGTGTGTTAGTTTCTTGCTTATTATGAGGACCCTTGTGACCTTCAACAAACAAGTGGAGGGTGGCCCTGAAAAGAAACAGGAACGTGTTACACAGTTTTTACCAGTCCTGTTCTACCTCAGGACAAAGAACAGAATTACTTTTGTAATTTGCAGGTGTTAGTCAGGAACAACTGACATGCCAGTACTCAAATTTAGACAAATCAAAGCAAAAAATGTGTTGTTTTTTAAAATTACTTTTAATTGCAGCTCCAACTAGAAAAGCAGAAGGGAGAAATTCTTGGGGTTGTGATTGTGGAATCTGGATGGGGATCCATTCTACCCACTGTTATCCTGGCTAACATGATGAATGGAGGCCCTGCAGCCCGTTCAGGAAAACTAAGCATTGGAGACCAGATCATGTCCATCAATGGGACCAGTTTAGTTGGTCTACCTCTTGCTACATGCCAAGGGATCATAAAGGTACCACAAACTTAAAACTATATGCTGTAGATTGTAAGCCAGTAGAGATGTACTATTCTGACAATCAGTCCTGTAGACTTCCAGCAGATTTTTCATATCACTGAAAAAATAAAAAAGGTAATTATAATTGACAACAAGGAAGATTATCAACAGATATTAGGGGGGATAATGTGCAGAAGTGTAGGTCTGGAGAATTTGTCTGCAGCTTTGTTACTGGGCCTCAATTAAGTTACTTAGCTACCTCCAAAGTTTCAGGCTTCCCCACAGCCTGCAAATCCAAGGATTGACATCTACTGTTTCTTTGGGCTCTGTGTAGATGAAATGGCTGGAGGCTTGTGACTGCAGGACAGATGAAGTGAGTAGACACCATCTCAGACTGCATTATCTTTAGTCAATGAGACTAATTCTAATGTCTGTGCAGATTTACCAAGAGTAGTAGCAGTAGCAGGAGATTATTTAGCCAGATGCTGGTAAAGCACAAGAACTAGTCTGTTCTGGTTTTTTTTTCCTGAAAACTTTATTAAAGTTTCTGTATTAAATAAAGGCAAATTTTTTAATGTTTTGTTGTGCTAAATAGCTTGGGAAATAAATAAAACAGATAAATGTATTCCCACATTAACAACAGATTTCTAATTAATTCTAGCTCATCTTTCTCAGAGCAGCTGCTTTACACTCTTGCAATTAGAAATCCATTAATGAAAGAGCAAATTAAGATCCATTTCAGAAGTATTAACATTTGGAGTATCTTTCAGGGTCTCAAGAATCAGACACAAGTCAAACTGAACATTGTCAGCTGTCCTCCTGTTACTACTGTCCTCATAAAACGGCCAGACTTAAAGTACCAGCTGGGCTTCAGTGTACAGAATGGAATTGTAAGTTTCTGTGTTCACTGATTGTTTTGGTTTCTTTTTATTTCAAGAAGCACACTGAAGTATTGAACAAATCCTTGCATATTGCCTCAATTTTTGCACTGACTTTAATTAATCAAAACCTTATAATCACATCTCCGAGTATAATGCAAATGCACAACACTAGAACAAATACTGCCATTCATGAGGTATGTTCCTACATTATTCAGCCACGACATTTATAGTCCAGATTGTTTGGTGCAACATTTGGATCAGCTAATTAATGTCTAACTCTGTCATTAGTGGGCCAGAGTTACAAGGAGAACAGTTATGCTGAACCAGGTTTTTACAATTACAACATTCTGATCTTAGCTCTGATCCTGTTTGTTTTCATTTTTCTTTCACTGTCCAGAATTTATCTGGACCACATGGCAGTGGGCAAGGGAGTACAATTGTGACCTCCTCTGGTGAAAACTGAACATCTCTCACTACAGTTGCATAGGTTGTGGCCCTTCTCTGCATGCTGCAGTTTCCCTGTAACAACAGCAGCGAACAGAATGAATGTGATAGGTGAGATTTACCCAGGGCAGCTCAGAGTCCTCGTCTCGTAGTTCTTCCTTCCCAAGCCATTCTCCAACACCTTTCCAAAGCAAACTGCCAACATAACTAGCTCAGGTAGTCACTTGGCCTTTCTGGGAGCTGATAGTAGCATTAGAGACTGTCTGTAGGGCAGGGCCATCACCATCCCCTCTTCCTCCAGTCTAGGAAAAAAAAATAAAATCAGGCTGCTCACACAGAAAAACCACATCACAAAGAACTATGGACTCTGGTCCCCTGTTCTGTGAAACTTAGCAATTGAAGTTCCCAGGTTTCTGTTTGCCACCCTTGGAAGAGTAGCAGGTAACTAACTCTATAGGATATGGTTTATGGGTCTTACTGTGCTTTAGCAAAAAGGTGGCTCATTAGTGGCTTTTCAGCTCTGCTAATCACCTCTAAGTTATTATTGTACCTCAGTTTTAAGTATTCCTACCTAAGATCACATTACTGTGTTGTGGTCACAGCAGAGGCTGGTATAAGGAACACAGCTATAAGCTGTGGCCCTGCTGGATACACACTGAAGGCTGACAGCCTTTAGAAGCAGAGGTTTAAAGTATTTGTCATGTTTGGGATTAATGCTCTGACACCTGAGCATAGAGAGGTCCGTACAAAAATACAGAAAAATCAGGTGTGATGTATTTCTGTCCTCCTTTGCCTGTGCTTAATTCCCTTTCACCTGCATGTATGTGTATGTTGAGTGGGTATGGGTATTGCTGGTAGTTCCCTTTGTTAGCACCAACTCTTGGTATAAAAAGGATGAAAGGGATGGGATCTGATTCTCACAGAGGGTGCCAAGAACAGGAAATAACACTGTAGGAGGCATTGTAAATGTAGTACGTTCAGCTCGTGCTATGATAAAAAGAGGAAAATACAGTTAAGGAACAATGAGCTGTACTTTGGTGTGTTTATCAATTCCTTTAGGAGGCCTGTGGAAAAGAATCAGGCCAAGGTGGATTAGAAGCAGTATATCATGTCCTCACATGGACAGAGGCAGTTATGGAGTCTGTGAGACAATCCATCTTGTCCCAGCTTATTATCTCCTTCATCATTGCAGTCTTAATTTAGTAAACTCTGCAGACTGTTTTTTCCTTTCATAGTGTGTTCACTCCATCTACTGGTCATTTGACATACTCACCACACTGGATGGCCATAATTAATACCAGTTAAAATGAGCAACATTTAGATGACATCCAATACGAAGTTTACCAAAGAAAGCCTGGTAATAGATTTAATTTGTGAAGAGTCAGTGTTTGAACATGAAAACCAATCAGCAAAAAAGGAGAGATGAACATGTTTTGTTAGGCTGCTGTATGGAGAAGCTTCTCTCAGTTCTTCCTCAGATAAACTCTCACTTCACTTAACATTTAAAAATATGACTCTGCAAAGGACATCTCTGGTAGTTTGACGCTAAAAGCGGTTTTGTCATTGCCAGCAATTGTTATAAATGATGACAGAGTTGAGAAATAATATCCTTATTCTTTGTTGGCTCAGCATTAGCACAGTGAAGAAATAAATGGCTTGCCAGGACAGGTATAATAAAATGTCTCCCACTGCTGTGCCATCCCCTCGTTCTGCATGCAGCTGGTACTTACTTCTGTGCCTCTTCTGATAGTGGTTTTCAGTGGCTCCTTTTCACCCTGCCTATCTCATCTGTGCAGGATGTACAGCCATTATATTAGTGAATAGAACATAAACAACCTGAATGCACAGAACTTCTCTCTGAGCTGGGCTTTGCTTGCACAGGATATCAGGAAGATGCAGAGACTGGGCTGCTGCAGGTGACTCTTAATGCATTCTGTGTGTAATTCTGTGTAATGAATGCAAAGCCAGGAGGTGTGCTTGATGAAGCACCAGTAGTGCCAGCTCTCAGTTCTAGTTAGGAAACAGCACAACAGCATAAATCAGTGTTAATTTTACAAAATTCCTCTTGTACTAATGATGCAAATATTCTTAATTGGTCTTGAAAGCTTCAGATGTACTTTCATTGCATATTTAGAAAAGGAATCTAAAATTTTAACTGTAAGAGGTTAAGGAAAAAAAAGAAATATTGTGCATACATATGAAATAAATATGAACATTGTATGCTGGGGAGGTGAACATAATGTGACAAATCAGTCACCTCCTGAAAATGATTGATGTTGTTTTATAATTATAATATTTAAATACAATGGTCCTCTCATATCACATTATTCCTAGATTCCTATTATTATTCCTAGATTATAAAAAAAAATCTGTGTATTGCCAGTTGCATTTTCATTGCTGATAATGCACCATTTCTCAGTCTAGAGCTCAGACACTTTCTCTGAGAAGTATACATCTCTTCCATCCCCACCTTAGTACAATTTTATCTAAAAGTGCAGTAAAATTAGGCCAAACTTAATAGAACAGACATGTTGTTCTTTCTAACTTGCCTTGGTTTATATTTATCTAAACTGTCTAGTGAAAAATATTCAGGTTTTGCATAGAGTAATATAGGAGTAAGATGAGGAGAAACCTGGTTTAATCAGTCATATTAAAGGCATTTACACAGAATAAATAGTTAATTTGCACTCAATGTTTTGCTGCAGAATGGGCAGCTGCAATACAACTCATTGTGATTCTACTGAATTTTCACATTGATGTACTGCAGCTTGTCTGAGATGCTGCAGAATCTCTAACAGCTGAATGGATTGAACCAGTATGGTTTACACCTTTCTTTTCTTTTTTTTCCTCTTCTTTTTTTCTTCAGTTTACACAGTAAATAGAGTATAGACTTTGCTTACAAGAAGATCCAGATCCATCATGTTTTATTTAGTAATATTATGGCTGTCACCATGTTCAACAAGTATAGCAAGTTAAACAATCCTGGCTGAATAGAATGGTATTTACTTTGTGGTACTGCTCAGCTTAACCTTGCCAGCCCCATCTGCCATAGCTCCACTGGCTGGAGCCTAAAGTCTGAGTCAGCCACTTGCAAACACAGGAGCCATGTAAATGTGTGCTGTAAGTAGGTGTTCTTTACATCTGCACTGTCTCCAGCTGAACAGGCTGTGTGAGGCTGGGTAGAGACGCTTGGGCTCTGGCTCTCTTTCTACCTCATTAAAATAGCTAATGCTCACAAAAAGGAAGCTGACTCCCTTCCCTGGAGAGGGATCACATTCTTGCATGAAGATAAGAGACCTTCCTCTGGCCGAGGCTGTCAGAAGCAATTTGAGAGCCACACAATGAAAGGTGCTCTGGATAGATATGCAACCCATTATCTTTTCCTTTATGCCAGTGGGGTGAGAGGTCACATTTCCATTTGCTCTGAAAGCTTTTAGTTCAGCTGGCTGTACTGTCTCTGTATTTTCTTTTTTACTGTGAAAAATACATTTACAGGGTCTCTTCTGGCACATTTTGTGTTTTTACCTTTCAGATTTCTGCATACAGTCCCCAACAGCAGAAAGCACAGTTAGTCTAACAGTGAGTTGAACTGGGAAGCTTTCTATAATCAAGAAGATCTGTGTAGAACAACTTAATCTTATCAGATGTATGATTAGAAGGGAGACTAACTGCAAACCAATATATTGCATGTGATTGAATTCAAGATGCAATTCTGTTAAGGGTCCAGATGGTGCCTCTATCCATAAAAGTCCATCAGAAGTAGTTTTATGAACCACAGCAGGTAAAACTCATCCACTAATGATAGCATGGATAGTCATGGTTTTCTCACAGCAGGAGAAAATCTTATCAGAAAACTGAGAAAGACCTTTTAAAAACAAAGAATAACTATATTTTTGCTCCCCATATCAAACAACCTGAACTTTGAGTACGAAGGGATTTAATTTTTATAGCATTGCTGCTTGTAAAGAGGAATTTAAAGGAAACTGCTGGTGTCATACAACGTTACACCTTCAGTATATTCCAGCTTGCCACCTCTCCACATACTATGATTCTCAATCAGGTTACAAACTCACTGGGATACAAGCCATATCTTACCATACTTGTATTTAGCTCTCAGCAAATTACCATATCTCAGGAAATTCTTGGCCTATGATTTTAACCACTGGCAGGAACTGCAGAAACAATCATCACCGGATGCTCTAAGACTTATTTCCTCCAAGAACAGGTTTGTCTCAGTAAAGAAAAGGTTCAGTGGTGCCAACCAAGCTCTGAACGGTTGCAGAGACTGAGGCTATACATTATCTACCTCCTGTGCTGCATGAGCTTAGTCTTCTGAAACAATTTACCAACAATTTCTACCTAACTTTCAGCTGTTGAGGCTGTGCAGGAGGGCCCTCTCTTAGCACAGATACTGTTGCTGAGAAGGAAACATTCTTTTAAATTCCTCATACTGGACTGAAATTTTTCTTACTGCCTCTACACCACTCATGTTGCAACCTCAGAATAATCTAATAGCACTATCTGAGGGGACTATGTAACTTCTTGTAGAATTATTCCCCTACTGTAGGAAGCATAAATTCAAAACTTCTTCTCATTTCTTCACTGGTACCTGCAGCTGTCAGTTCAAACAGCAGCCTGACTTGCCTTCATCCTAAGCTCCCTGTGGCCAGCAGCACTGTAACCCATGGAGAAAAGGAGTGGCTCTGGAGAGCAGTGCCCTTTTGCAATCTGCAGAGGCACAGGAAACAAGTTGTCATACTTCACTACGCTGAGAAGAGTCTGCAGAAAAAACAAATTGCACATTTCATAGTCTCATAGAACAGTTTGGGCGGAATAGACATTTTAAAGATCATCTAGTCCAACCTCCCTGCCATGGGCAGGGACACCTCCCACTAGACCAGATTGCTCCAAACCCCATCCAACCTGCGCTTGAACACTTGCAAGGATGGGGCAGCCACAGCTTCCCTGGACAACCTGTTCCAGTGTCTCACCACCCTCATAGTAAAAAATGCCTTCCTTAAATATTTAAGATCTTTCCTTTTATCTTCCCTATATCTTTGTGACCCTTTTGACAGATCACCAGCTTTCAGTACATAATGTCTTTATGGCATCATCCTTTGCTTCAGCCTAAACTACTGTTTGTGCAGGGTTAGGGATTAAACCTTACATAATTTTTTCCCCCATGTATTTGATAAAATTACTGTTGTAGATTAAGTTTTACTTGAGCCCTTTATATTCTCTGTTATTCAGAAGGAATAATGTGATAGTTTGCAAGAAAAGTCCAGGTGGCACAATCAAAAAGATGTAAAAATCACTTATCCTATCTCAGCAGTACATAAAATTCCTCTCTTCCCCCTAACTCCACTCCTCTGCACAGCTGCTGCCTGCATCACTGTGTTAAGGGTTTGTATGTTCCCAGCCCATAAGAATAAAAATTGTAACTTGGAGAAATTTTGAGAACAACCACCACACATTTTAGAACTCACAGTATTGCTTAATACTTTCCAGGAGTATCTTCTGGAATCCTTATGGCATCACCAGTTATGATGTATTCAATCCTCGTAACTGCTACATTAGGACATGTCAAAACTATAATAAACTTTGCTCTCTCCTGGCAGATTTGCAGCTTGATGCGAGGTGGGATAGCTGAGAGGGGAGGAGTAAGAGTAGGACATCGCATTATTGAGATCAATGGACAGAGTGTTGTTGCAACTGCTCATGAGAAGATAGTACAAGCATTGTCTAATTCAGTGGGAGAGGTAAGAAAACAAATACTTTATCAAGGAATTAAAACTGTTGAAAGAATATATTTTTCAGTTGAAAATAATGTCTTAACATAGTATTAAAACCACCACCTCAGTAAACTGGAGTTCAGCACTAATAAAGATTTAACAGAACGTTTTCTTGAACAATTAGATACACATTCACTGCATTTGTTCACTCATTTTCAAGAGTTCCTGGCATGATTCTGAACCTTCAATGTACTGTTTGAATTAAACCAAACAATTAAGGGAAGAAATCACACAAGAATGTTAGCTATGAAAATGTCTCTTGGCTTATCACTACAGCATCTGCCACAGAACTAAATTAATATTCAAAGAGCTGAGAAATTCAAATTGATAGGTATTTTAATGATTTTATTTCCCCTGAACATTTCCAACTTACCTTGGGAATAAGTTAAGACATCTCTCTCCAGTACTTTTGGTGAAATCAGTAATGGATGAAACAAGATCCTCTTTCAAAGTCTCTACTGAATTTGTTGCTATTATCATACAAAACCCTGGCCAGATCTCCCATTAATTCCTTTGCCAAAAAAAAAGATCAAAGGGAACTTGTTTTCCTGTGGAAAATGATACTTGGATATAACACAGAATATGTGCACACTGACAGGAACAAAGCTGCAGCTTTCAATAGAACCTCCATGCCTTAGGGTACCTCTTTGCTGCATAACATCTCACTAAACATGGGAGTGTGGAACTTTGTACTTCAGCATGAAGAGACCACAATATCAATGCAAGCTATGGCTGCTGAGGATCTGTGTTATCAGTTAGAGAAGTTTACCTTCCTTTCTCTTGTGTTCTCTGATAGGTACTGACAGCTGTATTTCTGATACAACTCTGATTACCTGAGGCCTTTAACCCTGGTAGGCTGTAAAATTTCTTTGACACTTATCAGAGAACTCCTTGTAGAAAGAATGTAAATACATGAGAGAACCTGTTCCATCAAACTCTCTTGACCAGCATTTAAATACCAGGTGGTAAAGTCCAAGTTCTGGGTTCAGAGGATCATACTCCAATTAAGAGAAAATAGGTATGAAATGACAGTCTCGCAGGGATGGAAGATAGAAGAAAAATCTAAGTTCAGTTAATATCAGAAGAGCAGAGTGAATTTTCAGAGGTTTGCACTGCTTTTTTAAGGGCTGTAATTGGAGTAGGGTATGAGTCTTTTTAGCTGTATAATTTAGCAACCTGTTGTCATTAAAAAAAAACCAAACCACACAAAGAAGCAAAGATAGCAAACCAGACTGTTAGTGCCAGTTACTCTGGTAACATTCACACTTGTAGCAACGAGGGCAGTAAATGCACTCACACCACAGGAAGAGGCAGATTGGGCCTTGTGATTATTTTAAGCTAGTAACAATTCTGTTAATTTCTGTGTAAATCAATTGACAGATTCACATGAAGACTATGCCAGCTGCCATGTTCAGGCTTCTAACTGGACAAGAGACACCCCTGTACATCTAGCATGCAACTCTTGCAGCAAAATAACTAAATGATTCCATCAAAGCTGAAGAGAATTTTGTATTTTGTATGAATGAAAGGCTTTGAAGCTGACCTGAGGACTCCAAACAAGGAACAGACAGGTGTCTCTGCCTTTTCTCTCCTTCCTTTTTATTTCATTGCCCAAAAGTGATGAGAAGGATGGTCAAGGACAATAATCACTGACAAAAATCTTTGTAAAGCATTTAAGTATTTTGCAACATCTTCTAAACTCTTTTCTCATAAAACTTAAAATGTATTTATTTGTAACCTTTCTGTGGAGTGATGTATGTATGTCTGTCTTGTTTGATAACACAGTGAATGTGACTATTTGATGAATGAGAATGCAGAAAATGGCAGAGAAGCAATCAGAGAAAGTAAGGGCTGCCTCAAGTTAAAAAAATCCCAGTCCCATAAAGTGCTGATGGCTTTGCATAATTTTAAAACTGGTGCTGAATAGATGGTATTTCAGTGGAAAGGAATGTGTGGAGTTGAAACTTTGAGATTCTGATGTAAAGAAAACCACTGTAGTACTTGGTATTGTTATGACAAGTGTAACCTGTTTGGCAAGATGTGAACATAAACATGTAACAAGTGTTTCATATGCTAAATAAAGAATAATTGCCACAAGATTAAAATCAAAATATTTATTTAGATACATATTTATTTTTAATGCTTGTGATTTTTATGATTTAACAGAATTATTTCATGAATAACTTATTGCACAGGTCGTGTGATGTATGTGTTGGGCTGGGGATTTTATTTCTTTTATTTTTGCATATTACCTTTTTGTTGATATTAGCTCAAAATGGGAAAGCCATGCTTGACCTGTTTCTGTCTTTTATAAAGCATTCTTATATTCCTAAGGCAACGTGTTCTGAATGTAAATTGTTTTGACAAATAATCTAGCACCATCAGCAGTATTAGAATGTGTGTAGATAAAAAACCTAGTAGTAAAGTTGTATTCCTTATGAGATAAATGTTAATTGGTGTAACTTTTCATCTAGATTTCTTTTTTGGCCAAGGCCTTGAAGAAAATACACTGTGACTTAAGAAGCCTTACCATGCAGTAACTAAAGATGACTGTACTTCAAGGAGTAGTGTGTTGCATGCAACTGACCTTAGGAAAGAATTAAGCTACTATCACTAATAAATCTAAAATAATAAATTAAGCTTGCTTATTTTGTTTGTTGTGTAAGTTTACGTAATAAAAAAATCCAAGCAGAAGATCATTTAATTCTTCATCTAAGTGCAGTTGCAAAGGTCACAGACTATTTTTTATAAAAGGAATTAAGCTCTCGAATTAGGAATTTCTGTACCATTATTTTGAGAGTAGATGCTTTCAATTAGCATACCTTGTTGCCACTGGATGTCACTGTGACTTCACATCAATACAGAAGCATGCTGTAATTAAAATACATTAAAACAGATGATTCTGTAAAACTTAAACTACCCATCTTCAGCTGCGTTCCTTTGTGACCTTTTCACAGGATGTCTGCCCAGCTCAGAGTGACACAAATGAGACCACTATATGATTAAACCTGAAATGGAAACTAACACTGACAAGCACTGCAAAAAAAATAACCCCCTTAAACATCCACCTGTGGTAGGTTCTTTAAGAGAACCTTTTGTTTAAGGCCTTTCCAATTTCCTCTGAGAGAGCCAGGATGAAGCTTGCACTGGAAGACGTTGCTGGCAAACCTGTGTTTATACTGGTAACCAAGTTAGTGTCAAATCATACATGCAGCAGAACAACAAGGGCATGTTTTAGTAATAAAATTGTCAAAGCTTCTAATTGGAGTAACAATTCTTTTTGAAAAAATGTTCAAGGCTCTGCTAGATAAAAATTCACCTAACTCCTATCAGTTAGCGTTTGTAAATTTTATGAAATCTGCTCTTTGGAAATGCAGAATTTCAAAGGTTTTGTCCCTAATGCATCTTTTGGTCCCAATTTGCAGAATACTTCAGCCTTGGTGTTTGGTAGCAAACACTACTCCATTAATGAGCTCTTGGGCATTCAGAACAAAGCAGAAACAAACCACACTGCAGCCTTTCCTGTAATTTAAAAGGGCAACATACTGGGGGCTGGAGGGGCAGGGAGCAGTTTTAACAGGAGAGGTCAGTGAGCCTGGCGGGAAAAACACTGGAAAACCAGATTAGAAACAGCCTGTATGTGGGGATGAATCACCTTTACATTTCTGTCCAAATCAGTTGTTGAAAAAGCAAAGTCCAGAAATACTTTTTATTAAAACACTGATCATAGTTAAAACACTTTGAGGTACATTAAATAAATACAACTACTAAGTTGTACAGCCAGTCTCTGGCAGTTTTGTAACGGTTCTCAAGAAATGCAAGGCAGCATCAGTAGCATTTCTGTAAGTACAGTGAGATAAATGGATTTCTGTTTGGGAAAACATTTCTTATGTCTTCACTAATCAATCAGTTAAAATTTTGCAAAACTCAGGGCTGAAATTTACATTCAGAAAAACAAGTGTTCTTCTCCTGCTGTTGGGAAAAAAAGTGGTATTCCAAAGGAAGACACTTCTTAAGTCATCCACTACTTCTATTTCTCCCAGTCCTGGTTTCTTCCTTAATTGTCTTTGCTGGAATCACATACCTGCAGATACCATCACAGAATGGTCTCCCGGCAAACGCCAATTAAACTGTGAGGCCTGTCCCGCTCGGAGCTGCGAGAGATGTGGGACCTACGCAAGAAGGCAACTGGAGAGCTCAGAGCACCACAGCTCTGAAGGTGAAGATCTTCTTGAAGTCGCTTTCTAGAGGTATTCACATTCTGCTGGGAACTTGTTATTACCTGTTTAGAAGGGCAGGAATGGAAAAGGAAAAATGGGGAAAACAGGGTAAGAATTATTTTTTATTTCAGAAGGTCAGTTCTGTAATATAATTTTAATTCAGATATCTAGTAATGAAATTCTCCCAGAGATGATGTGTGTTTATGCAGCCATCCCACTTCTGTTCTTACAGCTGGTCAGGGCTGAGGACTGGCTATGGGGAGGCACAAGTCAGGCTTGAGAGGCATCAGGACTCCTCTCTGCTGTAATGTTGAATCAACAAAGGCACAAACAAGTATTTGTTTCTCTCTAGAGGAATGAAGGGGAAACCTGTGGGAAAGGCAGCAGCTTCGCCTTATAATTGACAAATACAAGTTTGGAGCAAATTAAACTCATCTGTTTCTTTTAGGAGAAAGATGCTTTGCTAGCTTAGCTGCGGGTGGAAGAGGACGGAAACCTTGCAAGCCTGGTAGACATTTTGGTGTTAACAGAACTATCAAGCTACTTCACAAACCTGAATTAGACAACTGTTTTATCAAAAATTCTGTTACTCCTTAAGCAGACTGCTGGGATGCCCTGGACTTTCACCAATTAATAATGGTCTTTGTTTTAAAAAAATAAGTACTAAAATTATTGATTTAATGTGGAAAAACCATATGTCTCCTGGACATAAATCCACACTAGATAAAAATGAGGCCATTGGTTTCCAGTTTTATGATCTACATAAAACCTCATTTTTTTAATACTATTTTGTTTTGTGAGAGATGGGTTTTTCATTTAAAGAAAATTGTTTTCAACTTTCTAACCTTGAGGATTTAACGATGTATAAATTTTGTAAAGCAATAAAAATGTTAAAATCTTCTTCCATCCTGACACCCTTCAGTATGTCACGCTGGCTCTGCTTCTCTACCCATGTCAGTACAGAGGTAACAGATAGTGCTGCTACTTTGTTCTGCCTCATAGTTGGCAAAAACCATCTTGCATTAAAGCCTGTGTGTTTCCTGGGACACATCACACTATCTCACATACTTTGTAATCTGTCCTACTTTAATACTTGGCCAGTTTCCCTCTCTTAGGGGTCAGGAGACTGGTGCCTTAGGAGTGACAATACCTCAGGAAGGGGGGGAAACTGCTGCCAAGAGTGTACCCTTAATTGTCTGTCCCACTCTGTGGAAACCCTGCAAGCAGACTTAATGTGGCAGTCAGTGCTAAGAGCATTCTGCTTTTCCAAGCTGACACTATAAAAGGAACTTCCATTTCTATAGCTGGCATTGTGGTAACAATACCAGCAAGAGGTGATTCATTACCATCCTTCCGGCAGAAAAGATTTATTATTACATATGCATTAGATAATAAAAGTTGCTGTCACTACTAATGCCCTTGCTTTAAAGGATTCCTTCCAAGCCTTCTGTTTCATTCTCATTCAAGGTGAGAAGATACATTATTCCGTCACTTGGAAAAGCAGAACTTCTCAATTTGTTTTCTTAAAAATAGCAATGGTCATATTGATAGATTGTGGCTTAGCTTTTGTATCTACCTATTCATTGCAGCTAGTGCCTTACACAACAAATAGATCTGGCTGCAAAAACAACTGATCCAAGTCAGTGGTGTGTGTCTCTGTACATGAACACAAATTCATGTATTCGACAGGAGCAGAAAATCATTGGATATCAGAGACTGTGATTATCAATGTGTAAATATCAGTTCCCAAGAGACCTCCTAGGATACTACTGGGTTCAGCTGAAGAATTTTAAAGGCCTTTATAAGTGCTTCACTGTAAAATGCATCACTGCCCAGTAAATATTTTTTCTTACTAAAGCCATGTTACTATAAAAGAACTTTTGTAGCAATCATCATTAGTACTTAAAGCTGTACAAACATTTAAATAAGGTATGTGTCTATGAAGCTGAACGAATCTTTACAACTTAAATGGCCTACCTGGTCTATAATATTGGCACTGAAGATGGCTTCTTCCATGTGTCTTTCATCAGACTTAATCACTGACCGGATGCTGTTCACTACATGACGTACTTCTGGAGGGAGATTACAGTTTGAATGTTCCAAAAACTTTGCCACCAAAATTTTGGTGTCTTTATAGGCCTTAAGGTCCACTAAAGAGTGTGGTCGATCTTTTGAGACTCTGTGCAAAGCCTTTGGCTTTAGGTGTAGATCAGTCTTCCTTGTATCCCTCTGTTTTCCACTTGATAGGAAATTGCTCAAAGAATGCTGATAAGCTGAGGCAGCCATATGAGAACCAGAAACTAAAAAAGGGGGGGAAGAATATCTTTAAAGTAATAAGTTTTAAAAAAGGGGAAAAAAAGAAAAAGTAAAAGAAAAAGAAAAGGCAAAACAAATATTGTCACAGAGGTTTTTACTTTGTCATAAAATGTAGTTTTTCTGAAAAAAAAAATAAATTTCATGACATTTCTGTTTCCTCTACTTTTGAGGTCTTCAGTTGCTATTAACAGTAAGGGGAACCACCAGCTACTCAGTGTTATTTATGACACTTTTCATGCTTTAGGCCCAACCCTTCACCTACCCCCAGATTTAAGAGTAAAGTTCCCCTTATTTCTAGACCTTGAAAATTATAAGCAGTGAATGATATGAGAGAGATTAGTGAGAAATACAGAGAAAATAAAAATGCTGAACTAAAACACAAGACATCATTTGCAGCATTTATTTTTATTCAAAGGCTGGTTCCAACAGAATTGTACATAATACACCTATTTTTCTACCCCAATTTTTCCAGAGCTCGTTTATCAGAAGCTTTTAATTATTATTTTTTTAAAAGGAAGGACACCTGTATGATCCTGCTTTACCTCACCTGTTTCTAGTGCAGCTGGAGATAATTCTGCATCTTGATGCTGGCTACATATAGGAGTCCAGGCACAATTATCACCTTTAACCAGAGACAGAAAGAGGACAATCAACTCTTTGCCCAAAGCAAGGAAAAAAGTACATTGGAATCTTTTATTATCTCCTTTACAGAATAAAACTATGCAGAAGAAATACTGCTTTCAAGAGGTCTATTCATAAAGAGAAGCTACTATACAGAGAGATGTCCTAAAACCAGTTAAATACATGTTCCTGCTTGATGGTTTCCTCTCTGTTACATTGCTATCAAATCCTAAACTCCTCTTATATCTACAAAACCAGCATTTTATTCAGTATTTCTACCTCCTTTTTTAAATGTTCTCATTTGTTGCAGGACAAATGCTTTCCACCACTCATCAGATTAATGGGAGGTGACCACAATGGTTACTGATGATCCAATCACGAACAAGTGGCTACAGAGCATCTACAAAGTGCTCTGCGTATACATCTCATCTACATCCTACCAGTGCAGTCTTCCTGATTTCAAGCTTGTGACAGTCAAGATGGAATAAGCTCTCACATTTATGCTGGGGCTGTTTGCACCTGTTTCCAAGACTGAGAACTATTCTTAACTTCTAGGAAGATTAGAAGAGGTTTTCAGGTAAAGTTCGTAATGAAAAGCCCGTATAATCCTCTCTGGCAGAACAAATCATTAAATGACAGAAAACAAAGGTAGGATGCTACAAACATAGAAAATCTGTAAGAAATTAAGAGACAGCTTCTATTCTGTCTTAATTCGCTTTATTATGCTGAAGTACTTCAACACATGAATCATGGCATGCTTACTAAGAGGAGACACTTCAGAAGTTCCGTCTTGTTATCCATTATTATACTGCTTAATGTCCCTGCAGCACAGCCGAAACTATACCACTAGACAGTGTCCTGAGTTATCTGGAACACTACCATAATCACTGAGGCACTTAACTGATAAATATTTGATTATAGATTTAGTTTATTTAACAAGTATCAGTGCTAGAAGCTGATTTGGTCCTTCTTTGTTATGATAAACTTTACATAGAAAGACAAAAAGATGCAACGCATTCATATATCCATAATTTTTTTAAGAGGGCACTAGTTCTTAGAGAGGTTATATGTGAACCCACCATTCGTACATTGTCCAGGGGCAGTTATTAAACTAAACTTTTTATTTCCCTAGTAGGAATGACAGATACTTTAAAACAAATAAACAAGCTGACTTTCAGCATTAAAGGATTCATGGAAGAATTATTGCTTGTACATGCCATAAAGACACCATCATGTCAAGATCTGGTTGAAGCACATGAATTGTGTTTTACTGACCTAAAAGCCCAGAGTTTTATGTCAGTGTTAAAATTCCCACATTACTAATTTATTAGATCTCACTGCTGTTGCTTCACTATGCTGTTGCACATGTGCAACATCCCTGTGTCACATAAATCATGATCCAAACCACGTGCCCTGCAATCACAGTAACATTCAAGACCCATTTAACAAAACTCTATGCAGTAAATTTCAAGGTTGCACTTCTAAATCTCTTCACATTGACTTTTATAGGGAGGTTAATCAGAAGATAAGGTAATTCTTTCTCTTAAAGTAGAAAGACAGGGTCCTAAGAAAAAAACCCAAACCCTACTTAACAATCTGACCACTGTATTTCCCATTTGTTATAATGCCTGAAGCTCCCACACCCCTCAGTTCTCAAAAATCCTCAGTATGTCTCTTGCATGAGTTATTAGAACTAACAATACACAGTTACAGCTCTGTCTTTCATCTGGTCAGTCTATTTGGCCAGTTTTACTCCAGGAAAATTAAAACAAATAAGTGGATGTTACAAAAAAAACCAGCCCAAACACAAGTTCTCCTGGTTGGTTAGTTGATGGAGCTCAGTTGGTTCCTTTCATCTTTGCCTGTTATTCAACTCTGAGGATGTATTTTACAATTCTGCAGCGAGATCTATATACCAATAGCCAGTCATGTCAAATCTAGATCAAACACCTTTCTGAAGTTATAAAAATTATAAAGAACTCGGGTTGTGTGTCAGAGCTTAGGAAAAATAAGCTTCAGGGCTGCTACAAACAGCCAGTGCATGTTACTAGAACTGTGCTGCTTCTAACCCATGTGTGATTTCCAAGTAAAGCTCAACAAAAAGTAGAGGAAAGGGAAGCAATGGGAAGTTGTGAAAACCTTCAGAGTAAAATTTTACAAACTGTAGCTTGCCAAACAAATAAATGAAAGAAATATGCACATCTAGACTTGAGTGTTTCTCTTAAAGATTTCATTTTGAAGACTCTTTTGTAAGCAGCAAAAGAATGGCAAGCTAGATCAGCACAAACACGTTCCCTCCAAGTTACTTCTTCTCTTGCTCCCCCTCTGCTGGGTGTGTATCAGTATCTCTACAACTATCTCTGCTCCTTTATTACAATCTTTGCTGAGCTATGTGACATTTCAGTGATGTTGAACCCATGTCCCTCAACTGATGTAGGACTAAGAACTTAGAAATTAGTCAGTGTAATTCCCATAATGCCACTCCTCCAGAAAAGATGATGGATGTATTTAGGACATGTTAAAAATTAAGGCAGAGCATCTGTTCTACCAGGTGTCCCAGCAGTCAGCTAGAACATGCAGATATGGCTGCCTACAGTAATCTCTCTCCCCAGCACTACTCAAAGAGCATATGGAGCATAATATGGAAATCTTGCAGAGCATGATCCAGAAGAGAAAGTATTGCTCTTCCTGTCATTAGCACAGTAGAAAGGATTCTTACTGTCTGCACATCAGCTTCATAGCACATATATTGTAGCAGAGTAAATTTCATAAAGTAAATGCAGAATTCTAGATTAAAGATTCACTTTTCCTGGACAGGATGTTGAGGCTATGATTTCTAAGTGTAAAAGACATTCAATTATTGAGCCAAATATAAGGTCTCTAAAATTCATAGAAACAGAATAATGATGCAAAGTGGAACAGAACCAATATAACTTTGAAAATGAGACCAGTTATTTCAGTATTTTGTCTACTTGTGTTTTGAGCTCATCACATGATTCTTCCTCTAGACCCTTTTAAAAGCCCAGTGAATGCATCTGTAACAGCACAATCTATAACATCTTAAAAAGCTTTTTATCTTTATTTTCAAACAACTTTTGCAGTTTACCCCTTTGAAACTCTCCAAACAGCTTACATCCTTTTGTAAAATCTGCCCTTTTCAAATGGTTTAGATTGTTCTACATTCCTACTGTTATTCAACCAAGCCATTCTCTACTAAATCAAACATTTCTTTTCCACTAACAACCAAATTTTCAGGAAGATACACCTTTCATCTCCTCTCCCCTACTTGTCTAAGAGCAGATTAATATCAGAAGATGCTTATCCACGACAGCCAAAAGTTTTCCTTGTCATATATCTGGTCACGTGCCTCATCTTTAATTTGTCTTTTTAAACTTTTCACTGGACAGTCCAACTTTCCACTACACAGCCATGCTGACTGTCCTGACATGCACTAACACTGTCAGTGTCACTGTCACCTTCAGGAAACATAAACCGTTATACTACAAGCTACCACTGCCCTGTTTAGTTTAGCTTCTCAATATAACAGTAATACAGAGGTGGAAGCATCTACTCAAGATGGTTTTCTGAGCACTGCAGAAAAGGCTGGTATAATTTAGGAAAGCTAAAATTCATTTCATTCTGTCACTTTTCCTGTTTCATTCTTCTTAAAATTTTTCAAATCTAGAAAATGTGCACCAAACTTAAGCTTTCACACTTGAGTGAACCCTCACTAGAACATTTAATGTAATTTCCAGCAGCACCAATTGCTGCATAAATCACATACCAGTCATCTGCTCCATGCTCCATCAGCCTTGTGGCACTACACCTACCTTCTGTGTGAGACGAACATGAAACAGGGTCACTAGTTGATCGGACTATATTTGCAACGGGGTGCTGTGTGACAGGATGCTGCTGGGCAGCACCCTCCTGGCCACTTGCATATGGTGAAGTATTTGCAGGCCCCAAACAGGGAGAGATCTGGGAAGGGACAGGAGGCTGGCTAAAGACTCCACAGCAGATTTTCTTTTGCTTCAAAGGTGGAATGAGATTGCTCTCTTGAGCAGAACTCTGCAGTTCTCTTTCTGAGGGACTGACATTCTCTGAGGGACAGTCCAAAGACCTGCCATGGGCACAGTTCATTTCTTGTCCTTGAGGCCTGTCTGTAGAGGCTTGACTGTGCGAACTGCCATCCTCATCGGGAAAACTTTCTGGGCAAGTTTTGTGGAACCTGCAGCTGGTGCTGTAATCCAGAGTGCTGCAGCTCTGGTCCGTAGCCCCTTTAGGGGTACAGGAGAGAGAAGTATCTGCAGAATGGAGAGATCCTTGAACTTCCAGCGAACAAAGATCTTCAGAAGAGCAGCTACGGTCTGGGATATCAAAAGCCTCAGAGACCATCAAAGAGGTGCTCTCAACAGAAACTGCAAAACAAGAGATTTAGAGAGAAATTAAAGACTTCCCGCCCCTCTCCCACTCCTCCCAGCCCAGTTTTCAATATACTCATTTAAATGTAGTAATTGGCAAGTACATTAATAATTACTCAAAAGATTTCAGATCATAGAATGCCAAAGCTAAAGAATCTTAGGGGCTGGAAGGGACCTCAAGAGATCATCTAGTCCAACCCCCCTGCCAGAGCAGGGTCACCTAGAGTACATCACACAGGAACTCATCCAGGTGGGTTTTGAATGTCTCCAGTGAGGGAGACTCCACAACCTCCCTGGGCAGTCTGTTCCAGTGCTCTGTCACTCTCACAGTAAAAAAATTTTTTCGGATATTCACCTTGAACCTCCTATGCTCCAATTTACACCCATTACCCCTTGTCCTATCACTGGTCATCACTGAGAAAAGCCTAACTCCATCCCCCTGACACTCACCCCTTACATATTTGTAAACATTGATGAGGTCACCCCTCAGTCTCCTTTTCTCCAAGCTAAAGAGACCCAGCTCCCTCAGCCTTTCCTCATAAGGGAGATGTTCCACTCCCCTAATCATCTTCGTAGCTCTGCGCTGGACTCTTTCGAGCAGTTCCCTGTCCTTTTTGAACTGAGGGGCCCAGAACTGGACACAATACTCCAGATGTGGCCTCACCAATGCAGAATAGAGGGGGAGGAGAACCTCTCTTGACCTACTAACCACACCCTTTCTAATACACCCCAGGATGCCATTGGCCTTCTTGGCCACAAGGGCAAGAAGATGACAGAATGCCAAAGCTAAAAAGTCTGAAGTAATGTATGTGTTCCTAGTGTCCTTCAGCAAAGATAATTTCTGCTATCGTTGGGTATTTCTTCAACTAATAAGCATGCTTGAGCACTGATACCAAAGTATTCTTTCTAACTACATTTGTACAGGAACAGCTCTTTCACTACTGGAAGTTTTACTAAATTAATAATTTCACATAAATTGCTTAACATCTCATGATCCCTTGAGGCGGTAATTTTTAAGAAGCTCTGCATATCAATAGACACAGTAAGAAGATCTAGTCCAGTAAGTTTTAAACTTTACACAGCATCTGTGCTGCTACTCATCTACTTGCATTCACAATATCTAATGCTTCAGGCAGCAAGCTTCCTGTTCAGGTTGCTGGAAGCCATGAAAGAAAACTACTACATGGAGAAGGCATGTGGACTGCCAGGAAGACACCTATGGTTGCTGACACTGAGAAACAAGCTGCCACTTGTGTGCATCACTCTTCAAAGAGACATGACAGTTGCCATATCTGCCTCCAAGAGCATGCCTTGCTGAGGAAAGCTCTCCTCCGCATTTCTAGCCACAGCAGTTTAAGACTGTGAAAAGGTTCTTCTTGCCGTGAACAATCTGAAAGTAAATCTTTCTTTCTCCACTGGGAAGGACAGAAGAGAATGAAAAGTCCTCTCAAAAATCCCTTTTAATCTTTGTCAAGCAGACAAACACAATACTATGACTACCTTGTGTGCTGAAGTCCAGAGTCACGTTCCTCTCTCCCACGCTTGATTCAGACACTTGCTGATCAGTACCAGTGACCTAAATGAAAATTGTTTAATGAAACAGCACATTAATCTGCCATTTCCTAAAACAAAGTGTGGTGCTGATGATCTTAAGAACACACCCACTAATGTGAAATAACTATCATAAAAGCAGCAGACTGAAAGATATTTAAAGATACAGTATTTTACAATGTCTTTGGATCAGGAACAAATGCAGGGCCAAGGAACGTGCTTAAAGCAAGTTGTCATTTTTCCATTATCCATGTGCCAAATTAATCTTGAATTCACAGGCAGCTGGGGCTGCAGCCCCACATTACAAAAATTAATGTTTGCAATAAGTAACACTAACGGTTTTATTACAAGCAATCTCTTTTTCTGAAGTCTGCGTTTTTCCATTTTCTACTTTTTCCACCGCACAATATCACCCTAAAACAGACTAGACAAGAGAAGCCATAAAAACAACCCCCAAAGTATTTTCCTTTAGTTGTTTGCTGAGATGTTAATACCAAAAGTATTTGTAACCCCTATAACATCATTGCCACCCACTACAGCCCATGGGTGTTCTCCAGGATATCAAAGATGGAGAAATACTGGGGCTTACTCTGAACAGATGTATCTAAGTGTGTAACTTCACTTTTAAGAATTATGAGAACAAAGTAAAGAATCAGTCCTGCTAGAAATACTTGATCCATAAACACCTGAAATACAGGAAATTTTCTTTCAACTGCTTTCAATAGACTTTGGATTGGACCTGGTTGCCAGTCTTACTAGATTTTTAGCAGTTCTTTGTATCATGATTATTAAAAAGTTGTTCCAATAAATAGCTGGTAACAATCAATGAGAAATACATAAAATTTGAAGGGAATGAGATTTATACCATATTTAGCAGAAAGCATTGTATCTGCTTCTGCCTGTAGAGCCTCAATTAACTAGTAAAAGCTTATCTTGATTGGTGAGAGAACCTAGAAACAGCCACCAGTCACCTCTGAAAACCTTTCTGTCAAGAACTTAATTTGTATCTGGCCTTTTAAAAAACTGAATGTAACACTATTACTCTGAAGCTATTAAGGAAAAGAGTTTCCAGTGAACATGCCAGTATACAGTAATGCACACATATATATGCATACTGTGCTCATTGATAGCTTACTATGATCAAGTGAACAGGAAACCTTTTCTGATACAAAATTAGTTTTTATAAGTGATTTTAAGTCTAAGAGTTATTGAATGCAAATCTAAACAACAAGCAGTATAGAAATACTTTAAACCAGCAATAGGTGGATAGAAGACTGGGAAGCAAAGGTAAAATAATTAATATTTTTAAAAATTTTGCTTGGAAAATGATTCTGAAAGAATCTATTAGAGAAGAATATTGCATCTGTTTAAAAGATAAATAAATAGTGGTGCCACCAACTTGCATACAATACCTGGGAACTAAATGTGGAACTGCTGGGAACTAACTGGAAACTAAGGGTTCTCAAATCCTCTTTGTTCCTGAAGAAAACTCAATCAGACTAACTTCATTTTAGAAGAAAGGTTTTCCTTTTTAAAAATATAGGGGGTCTTTTTAGTTTTTTTTAAATTTTACATTAAGGTGGTTTCACAAAATTTTTATCACTGACAGGAAAATACCTGCGCCATATTCATGCTGAAAGGTTTATTGACCTTCTACATTCTTCCAGTCACGTGGCAGCTGTAGTGCCATTGCATAGTAACTATAACATGGCCTCATACCTATAAAATGAGTTACATACAAGGCTGAGGTTTTGGCAAACTTGTACTAATTAAAAAGAACCATCTGTAGCTTTCATCTAGTACATTTAAAATAACATTATTATACAGCATAAAGAGCAAACTTAAGGCTTGTGAAAAAAGCTGGCCTAGCAATTCTTGAAATCAAAATACTGCATGTCTTTTAAAAAAACACCCTATTTTACAGGCAGAAGAAATATATATATTGTACTTACACACTTTAGTTTCCTATTACACAAATATTTCTAGATTACAACATTTCAATCTTCATGTTCTTTTTTTTTATTCTCTGCTTAGTTTGCCAAAAGAAACAATTACAGGATTGACAGAAATTTCTGCCCTGGGAATACTACTAAGCTCATTTGACACAGGCCACAAAGCAGCTACCAGTAACTGCTCTGACACCCTGTTGGAACAGAGCTTGCATAGAGCACCCCAAAGTCCCAAAGGAGACAAGCTATTGTACCTTGCAGGGAGGTGTTCATATTAAGAGTCCTTCAGCTCACCTGGGGTGAGGACTCATGTTTTACTCAGGGAAGCTACAGGAAGGAACTGTTCTCAGCACTGTCCTCCAGGCAATGAGACTGGTATCAGCCTTTCACACCTTTTGGAATTTAGAGGGACACACACTGCATACCACGTACCTTCTCAGGCTCTGCCTCAATCTCAGAGGCTCCTACAGAGGCTGGAAACCTTGCAGCAACATACCTAAAGACATGGGGCTGCATAAACAAGGTAACATTCTTAGAGGTGACTTGTTGCCACGTGAATCAAAGGGCATGGCCTCTCAGCTTTATTTCTGGGTACTTGCTTATATACACTGCAGACTATACTATCATTTTCTCAAAATTGCTGGAAATTAAAAAACAACAACAACCCCCACAATCAAACCCAAGCAACATAAATAAATAGGTGGGATAAATTAACACACAAAGCAACTGTTTCTTAAGACCAAAGGCTGTTAGTATTCTCCTCTATATAAAATCTGTCATGTACAGAAAAACACTTATTGTTCATTAAGGTTTATCTCTTAAGGGCCTCATTGATAACTAGCATTATTAATTGCAGGAAAAAAAGAGATTTCAAGATTTTGGGTATGCGGAAGAAATCAGGGATATAATTTGAATTTTGGTTACTCCTCCTACTTTTTTCAGCATTTAGCCATGATTTGGAAAACATAAGCCATTTAAAGCTTATCGGATCAATGTGTTAATTTTTCCTTTTCCTTCCCTTGCCTCTTTCTTCCTTTACAGGAATAATTGCTGAATGTATTTTATATGCATTTGGAATTTATTAACCTTCTTGCTTGAGGGGAAGGAAAACCATGATTTTAATTGCAGGAGGTAAGACAGACAGTCTTTGGTCAGGTCAGAGTTTTGGTTCACACGTGGTTTCATACAGGTTCCTGAACAGCCTAGGGTAACAAAACCTATTGACTTGCACATCCTCAGACAAAGCTCATAAAGAAAGTCACTGAGCTATCAACAGGAAAATGAAAGAATGACTTTTAATAAGACTGCACAGCCTACAGGTTAGTAAACCTCATAAAACAGTCACTAGTATAATTCACTCAAAATCCTGATCTACTTGTACTCCTAGCCAGTACTTTGCATGGAAAACAGTGTGCTTTTTTTTTTTCCAGTCATAAAATGGGAATTCCTAATCAGTACAGACAAAATCAGCAATTTTGACTTAGATGCAACCAATTAAATTAGCTCTGACATTTGTTGTTCATAATATGCATGAAATACTGAGCCTAATTTGATGCAATGTAATAGAATTCTAAGGACCTCAATCCTTATAAAACCAAACAAAACCTATTGCTTGATGCTTAGCAAGAGGTTTTACAATTATGACATTATTACATAATGGTTTCCAGAAGCACTTCTGTAGCTAAAGCTCTGCCTTGATTTTCATTGCAAAGTCTGTCTTTGAGGGATTTGTAAATCTGGTTATTTCAGTTCACCCTACACTGTAGCTTGGCACATATTATATGGGAGCACTTGCATAATGTAAGAATTTAGTACTCTATTTTGTTCCTCTTGTAGACCTAAAACTGTCCTGGACTTTGGCTGCATTCCTCCATTTACAGATCAACTGGGACACGGACTGCAAAAGAAATATGCAGGGCTTTTGTTGTCAAGGAATGCACAAGGCTCCCTGTACTTCACTTCTGATACTCGGCACCTCCTGTTATTTTGCCCCTAACAAGCCTCCGAATGTAACTATCGGCTGTATATAAACTCACTCCTCGTAAGAAACTATGTAATTAGCACTGTTTAGAAATAAAAAATCACAACTCATTTACACTTGTGGTTAAAACAAACACTTCTAGAAACCAGGAGGCCAGAGGTGAACAGGCAAGACACTGATACAGATCCCAGATGCCAAAAAATAAGTCAATACATCTACTTATTAAAGCTCATGCTCTTCTTTCAAGCGCATGACTTTGCTGCTTTAAATTATGTCCTGTTAAATGATACCCTTGTCATATGCTGGTGCTATCGTGCTGCTGGATGTCAGTGCTCGTGCAAAGTGTAACCCCAATTACAGGAGTGCTCAAAGTGATCTTGTGCTTAAGTATAAAATGGCACTATTCTAAAACTTCCTTAGTACTACATACGCATTCGTATCACAGAAATTGTCCTTCTCTTTCCCCCCAAACCATGTATAACTCATGTAATTGTTGCCAATTCTTTTTTTTTTTTAAACACTAATACCAACTCCTCCACAGTTTGCAGTTCTTCCATGTTACTGTAAAGGAATAAGAATGTAACATGGTTAAAAAAATATTTTAGCAAGAAGATGATCTTGGAAACTCCAATTTTGCTGTTGAGAACAGTTGTCTGAAGCTGCTTTGCCAGTCACAGAAGATGCAAAGTTAGACACAACTTGGAGTTTTTAAACTGCATTTTTGCTTGGGACTGTATATTTCAAGGTTCTATTTTTCTCAGATACTTGTCTTATTGTCTTCTTCTTCATAAGAGTAAAAATGTTTGTGGTTCCATTTGTGGTTTCCCCTCACGTTAAAAAAAGCTACTAGTAAACTTTTCAATGCTATTATTTTGGGCAAATGCAAAGTACTCTGTAACATGGGTGCAATTCAGCAACCACTCACTTTTCCACAGTGTGCTACTGACAACTGATAAACAGTATCTAGAATATTTGACTCCTTCAGTTTTTACTGAAGCCTGCAATAAATTACAGTTTCTAAAAGCATTTTTAAGTATTTTACCATTTTGACAGCCGACTCAATTATCACAAGTCAAGCAAAACTTTTTTCAAATTAGCTTTGGTTGTACATGCACATACATTATAATTCTGTTTCAGCTGAGTTAATGCTGCATAGTAAAAAATAAAGTAAAAGGTGCAACAAATATTTGTCTGAAGCATACTGTATCCTTTCTCAAAATTCAGAATAAAAGTGTCCTGCACTCTCAGGAGGAACTGTTTCTGTCATATAGCAGAAGCTATTAAAAGCTGTAACAGCCAAATATATGCGATAGAGACCTATTTGTTGCTATTTCATAGGAAAAACTTGTCTCTCTCCTGTTAATCATTCAAATCTGTGCTCTGCATGGTTTTATATCAGCTAATGTTACATTGAAGCAGGAACCAGCTTCTAGCACTTCCGTGCCTGACAGGAGGCAGGAGGCCTCTTAATGGAGGCTGCAACTTGCAACTACAAAAACATGAACTTGGCACTGAGCTCAGGGCATCTGTCAAGACTAGATCATAACATTGCAAGAACAAAGAGTTTAAAATGGGAATTTGTAATTGTCTTGGCTCAGATTACATGAAGAGCAAACCCCAGTGTCCCATTATCTCTATTATATGCACACACAAACACACAGAAGTCATTAGCATAACATGTGACAAAACAAAGATACCTTTTTCCCTGTTAAACCTACACTGTTGTACTGAGACCCAACTAAAAGTAGTAAGGCAAATACACTATCACCTGTAGTTGGAATACAAAATATTTTTCAACTCTAGGGGTTTTCAGGAAAACAAACCTGCTTCCAAATCAAGATTTCTTATTACCTATAAAAATTAAGAAGTGTAATCTCATTTTAAAATATCATTCTCTTTTTCAAGTAAAGAAACACACTGTGCTTTGGTGACTCAAAACCATTTTTCTAGGGTTCTGCTACTGTTAGTCCAGTATCATACAACTTTTTTTAACAGATGGTAACAGCTGATTTATTACTACTCACATAAGCATTTGCTCAACCAAGAACATAAGGACACACATTAAGAAAAATTTGTTAGTTAAACCCCTTTAAAGAAAACAGTCTGAAAAATGTGTTTAAAGAACAGAATATTTTCTAATAGTTGCTCCCCCAAAGTAAAATTAACTCCTAAGTTATTTTAGATAATATAATTAATCTGAAATGGTTTCACTCCATTAAAAACTGAAGACTATGTAAGGAATTTCCTTTGGCTTTCCCTACCTGACTGGCAGGTGTCTCTCCAATCACTGCCTCATAAGGAGGAGGCAGCTCAGCTGGATACAGCATTCCTGGGCTGTTGATGGTTACTTCATATAAAGCACTGAATGGAGAATGAGGAAAGTCCAAATGGAGACCTCTGCTTAAAAACACATACAAGAAAACTTAATTATTGAGAAATTGCACTGGTTTTCTTTGGTAAAATATTGCCTTCACCACAGTAATGTAAAGCATTTTCTGATTTCAAAACCAATATACTACCAAGAATTATAGGAAGAAATTTATGAGACAACCAAAAGGAAGCCACATTCACAGGGTATCTTTAAAAATTGTATTTCATTTTGGATGCCTGCCATCTCTGCCAGCCTATTCTGCAGTCATTAATGTCCTTCACTGCTCCACAATAATACATATCAACCGCAATGATTTCCTTAGAAAATTCAATCTCATATTCAACTTCAAGTGTATAATGTGAACTGTGAGAGGATTACCTATGAGTTGATCTCTGCTTTAAGTTCAGATATTGCTATCCTTGTCTTTAGCTAAGTTAATCACTTGTCTATTACAGCAGTGCTTTAACACAAATATTTCCAGGTGTATCCTAAGAAGTTTACAAAGAGAAAAAGAAGTGTGTAATCTCTATGGGAAAGAAGAACCTAATGTAAGTGAAGGACATTGATTGGCTTCATATTCGTTCAAAACGTTTCTCAGTCTGTAGCTCAGAACTCTGTGATGACTGTAACTTCAGGGAAGGAGAATCACCTCTGTGCCTCTATGACTGGTGTGCAGGTATACTCTGGTGGGTAGTAGGGTGGAGGTGGTATTGGTGGTATGAACTCATCAAAATCCAAGGTTTGATGCAGAATAGTTCCATGTGGGGTCATGCAGTCAGGATTGGTAGAATGTGGCCTCTGTGGCAGAAACTGAAAATGAACAGGTTAAATTCCTTCAGATCACACCAGTAACAAAAATTTTAATAAAAGGTCAGTATTAGCAACCCTAACCAATACCAGTCAATCTTGGGATGCAGAACACAGACATTTGAAATTAAATAGCTTTTCAAGAAATGCTTCTACCTTGTAATACAATTTTATTATAGAACTACATATTTAGCTGTATTTGAATAACTTATGAACAACAGATGAAAGTACCCAAATAACTATTTGCATGTTTTTGTTTCCAGTCTGAAATGAGAAAAAAGACCAACCCCACCCCTCCAGAAAACGCAAATAAAACAAACCAGAAACAGACTACCGTGCATTCATTAAATTTTGAATAAATATCATACCTATTTTTTGCTTCCAAGAAAAGGTGAATTTGTAACTATTCTTTATTATTCTTGTAAAATAAAATATCCTTAATAGCCATTTATGGTTTGGTGACACAGATGCTGCACACTTAAATGTAGCATAAAGGTTTGAAACACTGGTATGAAAGAAACATTCATTCTGTATAAACATGTCAAAACCAAAAAGAAATCAACCAAATGAATAATAAAAAATAACACTGAGAACTACTGTCAACAGTTGTGACAGAACTGATCAGCTTCTAGCATAGCAGTGATAACAAGAAGTCATGCTGGTACCTTTGATACCGAAAACAGTGTAATTAAACAGGCCTTCTAGCAAAGGCTTCACCTACTTCTAGATCAAATATGGACCATTCCACAGACTGTAGGGAACCTTGACCTGGCTTTATATGGTTCCCATGGATAAAAGACAATCCAAAAGCACAGAAGAATTGTCTCTTCCCGAGGCAAGCTTCTGCTGTCATAACACTTTTCTCGGATCTGCAGATGACTTGGTCCTGCCTTTTCCAACAAATGAGCCAAGAACATTTTATGAAGGCATGTTCTTCACAGGAGAATATGTGTCTTAAATAAAGAACCACCTCTGCAGAATATGTTGAATCTTTTATCTTACAGCCAATCAATGACTTTCACCCATTGCAATCTACTGATGGTATAGGAATATGAGACATGACATCAACCTGATTTACTCATTGCTACAAGAATGGTCTGATGCTCCTACGCATCCTCTCTCACACAAGATGTGATGCTGTTATTCTGAATGCTATCAGACATTCCTACAGGTTTGTCTTACAGAATAAACCTACATTTTTGCAATTATTTGGTCTAAATTCAGCTGATCTTTAAACAGCCATTTCCCAAACTACAATGTTACATTAACTGTCAGACACCAAACTACTGCTCAAAGTGACGTAATCATCAGCAATTATCAGTTTGCTACCACCTCAAATACAGTGAAGAATTTTTAGGAAAAAAGAAAGCAAGACAAAGTTCAACTTAGTGACCTGAAAAATGTATTAAAATTTCTCACAATTAAGACAAATACTTGTATACTCTGGACTCACATTACCCTACTTGATTCCACCAAATTTAGGATTACACTAACTTTTCTAGTTGATAATTTGAGTACTTTTTACAGTCTGGAAACAAAACTATTTTATTTTATAACTTTACCTTCTCCCAGACTATTTCCATATGCTGCCATGGAACCCAAGCTTTGATTTGCACCAGAGAACATGTAGCTCCATCCCTTCAACTCCCTGGAGCTTGTTTCATTCAGCCCTATATAGGAAGTGACACTCTTCACGCCCCTCAGAACAAGGCAGTTAAACACAGAGCACTTTCACAGCGAGTGGACTCTCAAGTGTATATTTTGTGATATGTAACAGAAGTGAAAGGTTTCACACAGGGTAGAAGAGGCTGTGGTTCAAGAAGGAAAAGACCTAATGTTTAGATGCAGTTCAGTTTAACAGAAGAATCATTTGTATCCCTCTCAAGAACCTTTACTGTGAATACAAATCATGGCAACAAACTTTGTGTGACCAACGCTGAGAATGAGTGGCAAAATGGACATGAAAAATGCACATTTTTGGGTGTGTGTGTTTATAAACAACACTTTACCTGTGTGATATCATCCTGCTGGAAGGCACAAAAATTAAATTGAAAAAGGCTGTAAGAGGGTGACTAGCAGGAAATGAAACAATAGCAAATATAAGGGATTATCACAAAGAACAGACATCCTTGAGAAAACAATCAGAAAGCTATAAAGTGGGAATTAAATAATATCTTATTCCATACTCGTCTATCTACTAATCTCCACTAGCCTGCAAAAGTTTATTTTTTCTAGAGTAAAATGTATTTTAAAAATCTTTAAGGGTTAGTTTCTAATGGTGAAGGCTGGCAGGGGCTCAGCAAAGACTAAATACAAATTCCATAGGTAAGAAAAAGACAGGGTAAGCAAACACAAACAGCTGACAAAGCTGGACTAGATGGAGGAACACTGACAAATGCTTTTACAAGGAAACAGGCTTTAAAAAAAAATATTAAAAAATGAGAAGACAGTTATTACTAAATAATCAGTCTCAAAATGTTGATGTCAAGTAGGACAGACAGTAAGAACTGCCAAACCAAAACTGGGGTGGTTTGATTGGTCACAAGTATAAACAAGATCAAGCTGCATTCAATGTCATTTCAAATGCTACAGCTCCCACTACAGAACCGCTCACAAAGCAGGTCTCTAGCCAGGCTCTGGGCATTGAACCAGCCACTGCAGAAGCAATGGGCAGAAAACAGTTGCAGACAAGGGTATGCAGGAAATCTCAAACACTCAACCATTTCTGTTGACCACCTGTAGCTACCGGATGCTGGGAGCTTTCAGAAATCTGATGGGCAATGAAATACACATCTAGAATTTACATCCTTTTAAGAACCAACAATACGCTGGAAGCTTGGCACTCCAACTGTTATACACATGCAGCTTTTTTCTCATCCTTGGACTAAAGATGGCCTTACTTTAGTCTTTGGAACACGCCTGATACCTAATAAGCATTATACATAGATTCATACAGGTGCTAAATGGATGTACAACATGGTGCACATATTGCAGAGGGTTAATTTTGTGTTTAAATGGGGCATGCCTATCTTCAACAGTTAACAGCCTGATTTAAGCAGTCCTTTATTTCATATCGAGGACTACTTAATTTGTTACTTCAAGTTATAAGGGAAGGATAAAACACGTTATCTGAATGGAGAAGGGCAAACTAGGAAGCTGTACAATGCTGTGGTTGTGTACCCACTTTCTGGACATGAACTCATGTCCTGGTTTGAGCCAGGATTAAGCCCCTACATGGGGGGTCACAGATCTCCCTGTTGTGCCTGAGCTGGCAGAGTAAAGATGTGACCTTGAAAAGCCAGCAGTTAGGAAAATATTCCACCGTTTGTATCATTCCTAGCTGGAACACTCTGCTACTAGTTAAAAGAAAGCTTACTGAAGGAAAAAAAGTCAGTAAAAGGAAAAGTGGCTTCATCCTGGCTCAAACCAGGACAAGTCTATACAGGGGTTAGCCATGGCACCAGCAGCAAGTTGTCAGCAAGAAGGGAATTAGAAACACAAATGCTAGAAGCACGTCACTTCCAGTGGGAGCAGAAGAATTTCAGATTCCTGGAAATACAGTTATGGTCAAGGGTCCATGTGCCACAGTACTGAGAACTCCACACAGCCAGTGATGTAGGGCGGGACACCAGTGACACCAGCAAGATTAGAACCTGTAGCAAGACACATTTACTGTCACCTCCCAGTGAAGATGACAGAGCTTTGCAGAGTAACAGAACTCTTTCTACAGATTTTAGCTCTTCAAGGTGAAGGAAACACCATTAGATAGATATGAATAAGATCATAAAACTCACTTTCTTTTTTTATTGTCCAAATTTCTGGCTCTTCACTGAGAGGTTGTCTAGAAGCTGAATGATTGGAGTTTATTATTTATATTCTGAATATTTTTAGTATATTGAAGTAAAAGCTGTCTCAATGAAAGAACTGAAGAAACAGCAGATAAGGCCTGGTAACAGAACTCCCTAATGAAACAGTTACCCAGTGCAATGCAATGTGGCAAGTCCTTCAACCTGAGAAAGTAAAAACTCCTCATCAGTATTTCCAGGTATCCCCACTAAACATCAACAAAGACATCCACTATTCTACATATTCCACAGTTGATCAGCACTACTGACTCCAGATAAAAACCAGGGCTGGGATTCACTGCTTAGCAACTATGACATATCTAATCCAGTAACTGCCATATATCAGTAAGTGGTGACTGCTTGAAGGAAATCTTATCTAGAGTATTTCCCATATCTGCATGTAATTACCTCTGCCCTCCATGTCCCATTTAATATATTTACTATATAACTTTGAAATTAGTCCTTTGGAGACTCCATGATTTGTTAGCCTCATTTCAGTTTCTAGATGTCATTTATAAACATATTTTAACTCTTGGGAATGGGAAATAAAAAAAAATATTAATTGCATATAATTATATATTGGCATGTTGTCTATAGTAAAAGCTCTCTGCAATATCTTTGGGTCTATAATTCTCTCTTTAATTAACTGTCCTCCTCCTGGAGAGGTTGCTTTTTTCCTTTTCTGAAACACAGGAATCAATACCTCCCGAAGGATAATCTACATACTAATTGTCTGCAAGACCAGAAGAATCATGGCTGACTCTTCTAATTTGTGTCTGGCATTAAAGAGAAATTGTAACACAAAAGATATTTTTATAAGAAAAACAGAGATTTATGTTCTCCTGCTCCATTGTTTCCAGTTGCTGTTCCTATAACCATCACAAGCCATTAGGTCTGTAGTCACAGAGGGACTGGTCTGTGACAATACATCTTTCTTGAAGTATGGACAGTATTTTCAAAAAGTCTTAAGCAATAAACATTCTTATTCCACCAATAAAATGTGAAATGGAAAACAGTACATTTTCTTAAAATGTCATAAGCTTTCCTACACTAAAGGTTGCTGGTTTACCTTTTTATTTGCGGTGGAGCTGAGGGGAATATTTATGTAACCACATTTACATTTAGGATGTGCATCACTCAATGCACACTTCCAAGACAACTTTCATCTGGCCTTTACAGTCCCTTTAAGTGAGCTTTGTGCCAAAAGTGGTAATATTTAGGGTTTTTTTATATTTAGGTTAGATAATAAAAATTATGTAATAAGATCAGTTCTCACTTAATTTGAAGTTCCATCCTGAAGGCGGGGGATTACTAGTATTTCACCAGGGTAAGGGGTTAAACAATGCCAGCAAGATACTGTCCTCAAACAGAGGTGCTTTATTTGAGGTGTTTGAGTAGAAATATTAACTCTAGCCTATTAAATTAATGACATGCTGAATTACCATTATGGATGATGACAAATGTAATTAAATGTTGAGCTCGCATGTGTCATCACTACCTTAATTCCTTTACAAAATAACAGATTGTTTAGGTATCACATAACATGAAAAACACTTGCTAGCAGTGTTGGTGTTAACATCAGAATACACTGAATGATACCAGTGCCAGTACTTCTAGGATCTGTACTGGGTAAGGATGTGTATAAAGGTATTTGGAGTGAAGGAAGGACTGGTATAGCTGTACTTCAGGCTTTAACTCGGCCACAAGTAGGGGCAACTTCTTGTATTTCTTTGTTCAATTCAGGCAGCTACCTTTTCAAGAAAACAGTGTGAATTTTGCAGTAGCCATTCTTTAGACAAGATGAAAACTGAATCTGCCTTAGGCAAAAAGTGAAATATCCTTGAAGTGACAGCTTGGTTATTAAGAGATGCTTCTTCACATTCCAGAACAGTGATAGAATCTGATATCATTCACATGTATCTGCTGGAGGGGAGCGTACACAGAAAGAACAATTTTGGGAAGCTCTGTAAGCGAGTGCAGCCCTGCACTGTCTAAGGTAGTGAAACACACATCAGATGCTATTTCAGTCTTTAACTATGGTACCACTTACTCCAGCAGCTTTAGTACAATAGGTAGATTGCTTTTCCTAAGCAATTTTGTTTCCTTAACAGGATAAGAAAGGTAAAAGTGAGGTGGAAAATTTGGGGTAATTTCTGAAACAGTCAATTCAAAGGAGGAACAATGTAGGAAAATATGTTTCTGTGTCCCATACAAGAATACAAAAGTAAAAACTAAAGGAAACAAATATATAACTCAATAAAAATAGTTTGCAATATTTGGCAGTATTTTTTCCTTAATGTTTGACATCATCTGACATTTCCAAAAATTCACCATTCTAACTGATTTCTGAGACAAGAACACTAACACCGTGCATGAATCACAAAAGTTTTGAACCTAATAATGTCTGAGGAGGTTGTTTCCTACTGCATAATGCCTTTGCTGGCTATGAATTATATTTCCATGCCTCCTCTTCCTACAGGAGAGCTTATGTAGCTCTTGAATACTGGAAGAAGAGAGTAAAAGAATTGGCACAATAATTAAAACTTTTTCATCTAAGAGGGGTGATAACTCTTGCTGCTTCTATCTTAAACTTCTGAATGGTACAGCCCTGCTAAGAGAAGATGCTGCATACCTCAGTGAAGAGTAAAAGTCACAAATCAAGCATTAAAAAGCAAGAAAAAAGGAAGCAAATCAGACTTCCAAGTACAGAAGAGAAAAAGGAAACTGCAGATCATGGGACAATGGACTGAAAATATTGGAGGAAAAAGAAATCTTCAGGCCAGAGTTCAGCTGGTCTAAGTCAGCGTAGCCCCAGGGAAGTTACACTCACTTAGGCCTGGTAGGAATCTGGCTCAGCAACCTGAAAAAAGAAAGGGAAAAACTTAAGGATAAACAAGACAAGACTGGAGTCAAGCAGAAAGATAGATATAACTCCCTTCTGCTGTGGAGAGAGAAGAATTCTTGTCAGTAAAGCTGAAAGGGTAGAAGAACTGAAAGGGTGGAAGCTAAAAGTACTGAAAGGAAGAAGCTGAAAGGGTAGAAGAAACAACTAAGAAGGAAGACAAAAAGCTGGAAGCACAAAGCATAGGAAGCAAAAAGAAACTGATAAAATAGCAGCAGCATCAGGTGGTAAAGAAAGAATTTTAGGGAAGAAGAATGAAGTGACAGAGAAAAAAATTACATGCTTTTAAGGTATTTGACTTCCTGTTGAGATTACTGCTTCTTGCACATGGTAATCAGAAGCACTTTAATATCATTCTTGGTTTATTGTCATGTATACATTTTTATTCCTCTTACACTGCAAAATACCATAAAATTAAGTGTAGGTTAAGATTCCTGGAATATATATGGTTATGCTTCTGGATCACACTAGACAGATAGATCCTCCCAGGTGTGATGATCACTTCATTTCCCTGTCTTCACTGTAAGGTGAAAAAGATCTTTAGTCAATTTGTATTACTGGGGAGGGGGCAGTGTATGAAAATAATACCTACAGTAGGAAAAAAAATCCTTTAACATCTAAAATAAGATGTGTCATCAGCTAAAATAATTATCGCTGTCAATTCAGTTTGACATACAGAGGATATTAAATCAGCACTGTTTCCAAGCCTCTACAAGCATGCATAATATGAATACACAGAGTGCTACAAGAAAAACTGCATTTATATTCCATTTGTATGCATTAGGTAGACATTCATGCCTAACATTATATCTGCCACTAGGCGAAGTAATCACCAGACCACAGACTGGAGATATTCTTTAACTGAGTTTGTAACCCAGTGTCTGGAACATTTGTCTAGAAAGGACAGCCTTATCTCTGTAATTTGTGCATCAAATCAATATCCATGGCAGCTAGTGTATAAGGGGTTTGTAATTATGTGTTTTTAAATCAACCACACGGCTGCGTGGCAGGTTATACAACATTTCTTTCTTGGATGAATGATTTGCAGCTAACTTCCTGGGCCAGCGTTCTGTCTATGCAAACTTCTAAAATACAAATGATTTACAAATGACTGGTATCAGGTTTGTGACCTTGCCCTCTTATTAAACAGAGGACGATTTCCTAGAGTAGCCAGTAACAGTGCTGGGTTAGATACAGAACAAAATATAAAGGATTTGAAATTTTTCTTTTTTGTTTCAACATTACCTTGAATCCTCAAAAATCACAGTGCTCTTTTGGGATAGGGAAGCTGTTTTCATCCAACCCAAACAAGACCGTATCCTGTGACGTGGCTGCCACTGCAGAAGACTAATGATTCTTTTTCCCTCTTATTTTAAACACAAGTGCTACACTGAAGCTGAACACGCTCTCCTTATGAAAACACTGTTGTTGGCACAGGGCTGTGAAAGGTTACAGTTCTGAGCTCATAGTTCTCACACCAGTAAAGTAGTGCAAAATAGTCTCTCAAAGGTAATTGCTCTGGGTAGTGTGGAAAATGAAGACAGCAAACATGTAATGACAGAAAATGTAATGTGCGTGTATAACTGAACCTCATTAATAACCTTCTTAACAAAAATAACATGCTCCCAATTGCAAAATTTTGATTGTAACTTTCTATGTAAACATTTTAAACACAGCAGCTATTGGTACTGTGTACATCTGTAGGTTGTATTTATATAGACGTACACAGATAAAACCCACTCATGTTCACACATATCTAACACTACACATAAGACACACGAATAGGCTTAAATTTATAAGCAAAGAGTAAGCACAATTGAGTACACATGGATAAGGACAAAGTGTTACGTTGGACAATATCCTGTGCTGTCACTGAAACATACTCACCATTTGCAGAAGATCAGAAGAAACCATCTGCATGCAACACATTGCTGTTGCCAAAGCACAGACAATGGTGGAGATGATATTGAGAGCGCACACACTGAACAACAGGTCCTGTGGAAACACATGCATCAGAATATCATCTCTGATCTCAGGGATATGAAGGAAAGGAAACATTTTTAGCAATTTCTTAAAAACCACTGTCAACTGCTATAGATTGATACGGTTTCAACTGTGTAGAACTCATTCAGCTTGTAATAATTTCTTTAAAACAGTCTGCAAAGGGAACAATTACAGAAACAAGTATCTTCCCAACTTCTCACAACACATTTTGCATTAGAGATTTCTTCAGAAATGTTTTACAGTTCCCTGAAAGAAAAGACCACGAAAAGACTGCTTTCACAGTGGACTCCAAGGAACAGACTTATGTTTAAAACAAATACAAACAGAAATTTCATTGCTTTCAGCAGTTGAAACCTACAACTTAGGGTTGTGGTGTTATAAAATCAGTGGAAACTCTAGTATGAAATGGATAATTTTATCCTGTCTCAGATACTCTATACCGCTGCAACATTTTAAGTATGAGAGAAAAGCAGTGACTACATCCAGACATTTCACCTTCTGCTGATGGAGTAAGTGCATATGGCCACATTGTTTTTAAAAAAATCACAAACATTTAAAATAGAACATAAAGTTATTTCTGCTTACTAAGTAGAATAAAATAAACTTTTGAATTAAAAAGGAAACATTTTTGCACCAATAGTATAATTAAATAAAAGCATGAAACTTCTAATCACAGGGCTTACCTTCCCAACAGCCAGTGAAAAGGAACATTGATTTAGCACTATGGCAACATTTCAAAACTAACTACAATCCTTCTGCAGCAATTGTGTATCTGTTGTATTGGTGACATTATGTGGCTCAGTTAGTGTTCTTTCTGAACATCCAGGAAAAGTATTTGAGAAAAAGTATCACAGAAAGAATGGATGAAAAATATAATTAAAATAGTTAATAAACTACAAGTAAAAACACTGACTGTGTAAAGAACATTCTGTAGGATCTAAGCTTTATTTCAGTCACTGCCAGTGCATAAAAGAACTTCCATGCTATAAATCAATGCACTGCTTGTTTTTTTTCCATCAGTACTGAAAAAATAATAGAAAGGCACAGAGTTACTCCTGCCACTGTAATTGCATGCTCCTCAGGTGACCTTCATTTGAAGATGGAAATGCCAGCCATGGGAATCAGACAGATATTAAATGGGTCATTTAATAGCTTACACTGAGCCAGATTTGCTCTTGCTGATCTGGTCAGTAGTTTTCTGCCTTCTTGGTCAGCCCCTCAGCCAGGGGAATAATGAATCAATAGCACGAACAGCAAAACACCTGAAGGGGCAATCTCTAACTCACATACAGCAGGTGATACAGAGACACATCAAATACAAAGTCATACAGACCCACCTGGAACATTCAAATGAAGGCAAACAGGCAAGTAAAGATCCAATTAATTAGCAATGCCACAAAAAGAGATCGAGACCCTGTGTGTTGTGCTTTCCATACATAAACCTACAGAACACCAAGGGAGACAGTAGATCTAGGGTAGAAATAGGACTATTTTCTAGCAATATGAAACTTCACTGCTTAGTAAAGCTATTTAGAATCAAAATATTTAGCTAATCATATAACTTGCTATCATTTATGCTAAATAATAAAATCTACATCAAAGTTGTCAATTAGGATCCAAAGAGTCATTAAGACCCTCATACAACTTACATGCCTCAGAATAGGCTTGCCTGTGTCTCTATCACTCTATGATGTATTCCTAAAGATCCCATAGCTTTATCCCACTATTCCAATGTTTCTCTTTTACAAGTAGTGTCTTCTTTTTGCTTATCCCACAGTTGAAAACCATTGTTCCTTTTTTTTCCATAGCTTCTGAGAACATGCTATTACACATCAGACTTTTGCACATTTAAACTCTATTATCATGGTTTAAGTCTTTTCCACCCTTATTGGATGACATATTAACCCCATTCCCTCCAATCCTCAACTGAGACCAATTTCCTGGGCCTCTGATAGTTTTCATTAATATAACTTGGTTCACCTCAAGCTGGTCCACATTTTTCCTCAAATGCAGATTCCTAAAACTGGGCAAACCCAAGGCCCTACAAATGTTGACTACAGCCTATTATTTATTGTGCTTTACAAGGTATACTCATCCTTACACATTCTGCAGTCATGACTTAAGATTTTTGCAACAGTATATTACTGATGTATCTTTTGTCTAATAAAGCCCTAGATCCTTTCCTGCAGAATTACTACCCTCTTAATACTGCTAGTAGATACGTACAGAAGAAACATCATAAAAACAAAATTATTTTTATTAGAGAAAAGCCAAAAATAAACCTCCTTCTCAATTACACTTATGTCACGTCTATAAAAAATAAGGAATAAGTCAAACTAATTTCATAGAACACGGATAGAGAGAAAAAGGATATTTTTTCTTCCAATTCCTGTCTCCCACACCCTAAAATACAGACTAAAACCAAGCAATGCTTTTCATTTTTAGGGTTTTTTCCTTCCTTCTATCAGTAATTCTAGAAAACCTATCCAGACAGTGTCAAACCAGTTGCTTTCATTTTTACTCACTGCTGACTATTGTGAAACAACAAAGTTGACCCTGCAAGTACCCTGAGCTGCAGTAGTGTCTGAGACTGAACACTCACAATGCTCACAACTGCTTTGCCATAGTCTGAGGTTGTCCCCTTGCCACACACGAGCAACTCCCTTTGCCATTCAGCATTACAGTCATTATGCAGGGCAGGGATTACTGTCCACAGAAACATTGGTCTTCCTTCCAGGCTAAGCATGCAACAGTTACAGTATTGTTCCCAGTGCAATCTTTTTCAAGGTAAAGATACAAGTAGGATGTTTCAAATGTAGCGATGCAGAATTTTTATGTATTTCATGAAGATCACCAAAGAGCAGACATTTATCAGCCAAAAATGTAACAAAACAGCAAAGCTAAACAGATTTGAAAAATATGTTAAGTTTAAATTTTTAACAGTGAAGGTAATAACTGAGCAATGATGGTGGGCATTTCATAACGCAAGGCCACTTCATTATTTATTTTCCTAAAGTCTCTTTCAACTCGAACAGGAATCAACCCACAAACCAACAACTAACCCTTCTCTGCCTCTCCTCCTCCACACCCCCAAACATTGATCAACCTCAGGCAATTTACCATTTTCAGGCAATTTCTTCCCTATGCCCCACAGAACAAGCAATTAGGTAATTCATAGGATACTCATTTATTCTATACACATTTACTACACATAGCAAGTGAGTAAGCACAGGCTTTCAAGATCTAAACCCCTCCAGGGCCAAACACGCTACCAGAAACAGTGTCGACGATGCAGATTCCAGCTGGAACCGGACAACAATTCAGATGTCTTTTAGGAAATGTCTGTGAAAAAGCAGTAACCATGACGGGGACAAACTTAACTATTCACAGCACCTGGCCACAGACAACTATATTTATAATGGTCTATAGGAGTAGGAAATCTGTATTAAACACAAAAGCAAGGAGTTTTAATGGCAGATTTTTAGTTGGTATCTAGAAGAACTACACTGATCAGGAAACACAACACATTAATCTGGAATGGTGTGAAATAGAAGTCTTTGCTTTTTACAAATGGCTGAACCAATTTTCTCTTTCACAGTATTTCTCAGGGTAGCTGTATCTTTTAGGAGAAAATCTGATTCTTCAGAATGTTTATATGATAATTAATGCTCTGATAGGTATAATGTACTATGTAGAATTATTCTTCTGCACTTACACATGCCCCAAAGCTGGCAGTTTTCTTGCCACACTAACTTATTAATTGCTGAAGACACAAATGCCTTCAAGAGTGGAAGCAGCTGTCAGAATTGCTTGGAAACAAGCCTAGAACAATTCAGATACAGGCTCAGAGGAATTAGATGGAATTGTGAGCTGCTTCTCTTTGGCCAGTTGATTTTCCCATGTAGGTCCCTTGGCAAATCTCTAAAGCTGAATTTGAATTGAATACTGATTTAATGGTTGTAGCATTCCATTTTTATTACAGATTAACGATTTCCAAATTAATTGTGTAATTACCTAAATAACCCTTTATCACTTTTTTCTCCCCTAATAACAAACACTTTTGACTTACAACATGGTCGCACAAAGGATACTTGTCCATTTTCAAATAAAAGTAACAGGGAACCGTTCGCCAACTTCTCATTCAGAGACAAAAAACCAAACCAAAACAAAACAAAAAAATCCAGAGACTAAAACAGGAAATCAAAGTAGAAATTCAGTTATATAGACAACATATTTGCCTCTCAGTTGAATGCTACTAAATTGTCTGGACCTATATCCACCACTTATTAAAAAACTCTGCTCCCATATCTTTACCTCTCTCCCATATCCCTCACCCATTTGCAATTCACTGGTGAAGGTAAGTTAGTGCCAGGAATTTTTGTGATTGTTGAGTGACTGAAAGCAAGGGAAGAAACACTGGCCAAAGTTACTGTCTTTCAAATTTTATCAAAATTAAGATTACCAGCAGGTAATATTTAAGGTAAATTACAAAAAATGAAATGAAACCAAATCACACTCAACACTGCTACACATCATCCATTTCTTTTTTGCTGCAGTCTTAGGAAGAGACAACCTCTATTTTCTAGAGCACCACATTTCTGAGAGGTAACTACATAAAAATTCACATTCTCTAAATCTAAAACTATGCCCCAAAGCCTATAGAACACATTAAAATAGAAGCTGTATTACCAAAACTGAGTGTTTTTAAAAATCTGAATGTTTAATTGAACCATTTTTAATATTTTGTATTAAAATATAGTTTTGATATTAGGGCAAAATTAACTGAAAATGTGATATGAAAAAAATACAGTAATACACTGGCAAAGCTGTTTGTCCTATAAATTCATTTTCCTTGCTTTCCATCAAACTGCTGGGTGATAAGGTGGTCAGATGGTATTAAACTGGAATGGGGAAAAAATGGAGATTGATTTATCACTTTGATAAATCAACTACAGAAACAAACATTTAACAAAGCAATTTAAAACAGCTGT